ACCCAAAGCAGGCTTCGGAAGCCCGAAGCCCCAAGCCCCAAGCCCGAAGCGCCTTGGGCGACGCCGCGAGAATCCGCACGTTGCCCGCCAGATACACCTCGGAGCAAGCGAGCTGCACGCGGACATCGAACCAAAATCGAGGCAAACAACGAGAACAGGGATCCGGATGCATGAAAAACACCTGAACATGGCCTTGTAAATGGTGGTGATGCCTTTATTTGATGGAAAAAGCCATGTTTCAAATGGGCAAAATGTATCTTTTAAGGAGCCCTGAAGAAGCAACAAGATTACTAGTGAAGATCGTAATACTGGTACAAGTACGAGCACTAGTACTGCTACTACTACTGCTGCTGTTGCTACTACTACTACTACTGCTACTACAACTACTACTACTACTATTCATACTAACAATGATAATGGCACTGGCGCGAATCATGATACAAATAATGATCCTAATTATGACGATAACGACAATAAAGAAATGAAAGCTCATTTAACAAATACAAACAAAAACAAAACAATCATAAACAAATGAATGACCAAATTGAAAGCATCACTACACAAATCAATCAATCAATCAATCAATCAATCAATCCATCCATCCATCCATCCATCCATCAATCAATCAATCAATCAATCAATCAATCAATCAAATAAATCAATCAATCAATCAATCAATCAATCAATCAATCAATCAATCAATCAATCAATCAATCAATCAAATCAATCAAATCAATCAAATCAATCAAATCAATCAAATCAATCAAATCAATCAAATCAATCAAATCAATCAAATCAATCAAATCAATCAAATCAATCAAATCAATCAAATCAATCAAATCAATCAAATAATCCAATCAATCCAATCAATCCAATCAATCCAATCAATCCAGTCAATCCAATCAATCCAATCAATCCAATCAATCAATCAATCAATCAATCAATCAATCAATCAATCAATCAATCAATCAATCAATCAATCGATCAATCAATCAATCAATCCAATCCAATCCAATCCAATCCAATCCAATCCAATCCAATCCAATCCAATCAATCAATCAATCAATCACTCAATCAATCAATCAAGTCAATCAATCAATCAATCAAACAATCAATAAATACATCAAATCAAATCAAATCAAATCAAATCAAATCAAATCAATCAATCAATCAATCAATCAATCAATCAATCAATCAATCAATCAATCAATCAATCAATCAATCAATCAATCAATCATTCAATCAATCAAATCAATCAATCAACCATAAATAATGCGACAAAATCGGCACATAGGAAACACCTATTCCCAGTGGATTCATTTACCTGTATGGTAGGTAACCAAGCAAACCACCCTTTAAACACCAATAAACAATAGCTAGTTCCCTACTAAAAGGATAACTTGGATCCATTGGGGATGGCATCACTTCCCTCTTGCTTGAATTCGAAAAGCTCTCAGAAAAGAGAGCAAGGTCTAATGAAGCCAAGGGGAAGCCCATCACAAAAAAACACACGTCGTGAAGTGGAGGTTCAGAAAAGTGGCGGTAAGTAATACGAACCACTCAGGACCTTAAAAAAAAGGCGGGGCCAGTTTGTGCTCCACAAAGCCAAAAGGGAGCCCTGTTCGTTTTTTCCCTGAGGTGCCAAACATGGCCTCATTCTTCAAAGACCTAGCGAAGAACAAGCAACATCTGAGTCATAATAAAAACCCGGTTTTAAAATGTTCTACCCAGAACCATGTAAAGAAATAAGAAGGCGGCCGCAGCTATTTATGGTTGGGATTGTCCCCTACAGTGCCTTACTAACCTTCATCTACCCGGGTTTTGATTGTGGCTCATCTTTCGTCATGCCTGCGTTGGACATGGACGGTTTCAAGCTCGGAGATTCACACAAGACAGCCAAGCTCAGACTAATCCAATGAGTCACCCCGCTGTCCCAGCTCACAATGTTTGGTCTGCGCAGTGCGGTTGCGATCCGCGATTCGCGGGGCTCTTTGGCAGTTCTCTGATATCAGCTGCCAGCTGCAGGCAGCATAAGGTACAGCCAGCCAAGTTGGGGCGCAGAAACAAACTGGCCAACTCAGAATAGATTCTTATTTCGCCTTGAGCCTGGTACATGTGCTGAGGGAATCTCGGTTGCCCAGACCCCAGTAGAACAGGGAAGCCCTCTCTGCTTTTTGGTTGCCGTACCAACGGGATCTTGGTTGGTTGAACAAGCAGGCAAGTTGGGACACGGTTGAGGGTGCTACTGAGCAGCTAAATAATTAACGTACAACCCCGCGAATTCCTGTCAACTCCAAACACAAGACATGATGTTATGAGCCTGTCATGTCGCTGAACTTTGGTGGACGCGAGGGAGCTCCCGCCTCTCGATATGTGCGGCAGTTTCAGAATCTTCAGCCAAATTGCTTTGTCTGAGCAAGAAGAGATGGCCATGAACATCGCAATCCCCACTAAAATAGGTTCGGGTGCACCGAAAACCCCAAAATGGGATCTCATGGGTGTTGACCCACAGCCATATTGCTAGAATTGTAGGACATTGATTCTCTACCCTCCATTTGCTCAAGTCCCCTGGCAAAAATAAACATATTTCCAGTAGTGATAGATTCCCTTTAAAACCAACAGGGGAAAATAAAACATCGTCTTGGCCAAATGGAAGCTACACCTCGAAATTGAAGGGGTTGAGTGCAAACCTTATAATGCATGACATATTCGGCCAAATGCATGCAGGACCTCAGGCTGGCTCGCCTGTCCGCGGGGCGAATAATTTTCACCCGCCCCGGAAAGTGAGGCCCAGTACAAAAAGTCAAAGCACAGGTCATGTCGAGTGATACGTTGGAATCCCAAAAAATGCCAGTGAAACCAGTGAACTCCTGAAGTTCAGTGCATGCTCTAGTTTTCCCGGCAAGTTCTTGGGGTCACTGGCAATACTCGGGGAACCTTCCGTAGCCCGAAGCTTTCTCGCGCGCGATTTGGAGCGAGGTAGGTACTGGCACCCAAAATGCGCGGAGGGATGCACGGACACTGGGCGCGGTATGGATCACTTGGGACTGCGCCATGTTGTTGGTTGACGTTGGAAGGGGAGCAACATTTCAAATTTTAGCAGTTGAGTGGATTTGGATTTCAACCACTAAACCACAATAAGATCAAAATGGTTGCAAAACGTTTCCCAACCACCATGTGTTGCTCAGCGTCCCGTTTCCCCACATGGGAGTAGTCCATCTTGTTTTTGGGAGGGCACCATGGCTTCGAAACCAGGAGGACGTCAGTCATTCGGGTCCCTTAGGCACGCTGTGAGGTTCGGACATAGGCCGATCCATTGGGAACCAGGTGGTGGGACTTGTTTCAGCGTGTTAAAACGTGCCAAGAAAAGTTGAACCACACTTTTTGTGGGTCGTTCGGTCCAGACTTTCTGATGTCCAAACCGATTTGGCCCAAGGATCTCCTGGTAGGTTTTCTTCATAAAAACCCAAGGGTGCCGAGTCTCAAAAGAAACATCTAGCCGTGTCAGCCTGTTCACTGATCCGCGCATGTCTTTGTGGCAGAGTGGCGCTAAAGGCTTGGCTAAAACAAGCGACCATGAAAAGAGAGTGTGTGTGCGCGCGACTGTACGGATTCAGGCTAACATATCATTACATGGATGCCCACTTGGGTGTTGGATTCGCCAAGCTAGCCAGTTGCTGGCAACCTAGGTTGTAGTACACTTCTAAGGCCCCCAAAGTTAACCTTGTTTTTTGGGGGTTGTATACCGCAATTGGCTAACCAAAGGCACAAACTTGGCCAACAGCACAAGCCCAAGGTTACGCCAGGGGAAACCCATTCGCTACAGTTTGCCCATGATTATGTCTTTGTGAGGGTACCCTCCCTTCCACTAACGTAGCACCTGTGAGAGGCTACCTGGAAGATCATGTTCCTCTCGTAGGGATCCCCTGTCGGGTGCCATGTTAGTGGGAGTGAGGGTACTTTTTTTTGGGTTGGTTTAAAGGGAAACCAAAAGGAAACAGGTGCCAGTTGGGGGGGTCCGATTCGTGAGACAAACCTAGATCCCCATCAGTCTCTCCTAGATCCGTGCTCAGCCTCGCAGGCAGGAAGCTACACCTTTCCTCAACTGAATACCTGGACCGATGCTCAAACTGCCCGACCAAAAATGGGCTATTGCCCCAGAGAACATGCGGTGAGTTCCCCAAATATGCGTAGCTTGAGGGTCTAAATCCAGCCTCCGAGAGGGTGGAAAGCGGGACTCTAATTTCAGCATGTGCAACTTGGCTGAAGCTGGACCCATGTTGGCACAGTCCCAAAACCAACACGCTGCCCGGGATATCTCAAGTCGGGTGAGGACGTGTAGCCATCACTTGCTTGGTTGACGGTGGCAGGGGAGCAAAAATCGAAAAAGTATAGCAGCTAAGTGAATTTGGATTTCAACCACTAAACCAGAATAAGATCAAAAATGGCAAAATGCTTCCCAACAACAACCACGCTTGCAACACAGAAACTCCGGAAACTCCCAAGGCTTGAACTCGATATGAGTTCTCTCTACCTCCCGTTGGTTCACACCTCGGGGCGTGAAAATATTTTTCATACGGTGCAAGCTTGGACACACCCGCTTCGTGTTGCCATTTGTTTCTTCTTTCTGAAGCTGCTATTGCTTCTGACTGAGCTCGATTCTAAATGAGTCGTTCCGGCCGCTTCAGCAAAAGTGCTTGTTTTAAAACTGCAGTGTCTCCAACGGACAGATCTGGTATTGACCTGCCCTTCAAAAGCAAGACACGCGGGTATGTGCGAGGCGAGCCTGCCATTTCCCAATGATTGGGAGTCATAATCAAAACCCGGTATCAACATGGTCTACCCAGAACCATGTAAAGAATTAAGAAGGCGGTCGCAGCTATGTAGGGTTGGGATTGTCCCTTGCTCACCTTCATGCACCCGAATCGGTTTTGGTTGTGACTCGGGTGAGAATTTCAAGAATCACTTGGATGTTCAAGCAACTTAAGTAGCTTCAGGATTTGACCTTCATCTAGCCGGGTTTCGAGCACGTTGCCAAATGCCTCCCGTTTGCCTTGGGGCGTCACAGCCGAACGGGTCTTCAAATGTCCAGCGCTCACTGGCCTGGCCAGGAGCCAGCTAGCCTGGAGGCAGCATCCAACGATCCGCATATTTGAGGGGAAACCCAGCACAATTTCTTCAGCGGAACATGTTTTGGCCTGACTGGTTGATTCTCTCTATGTGTCTGTGTGCGTCTGTGTGTTTGTGTTTGTGTTTGTCTCACTTCCTGAGTGGATGGGTCAAAGTCCAAACTGCTTCTTTGCCGCTGAAACGGTCTTCTCAACAAGTTTAAAGTCCGTATGAACTCAGGAAGTGAGTTGTGTTTGTGGTTGACCCCCCAACTGAAGCTCTTTCCTTCAACTCAAAAGGCTGACTCAAGACCGTGCCGGGCAGCTGCCAATGGCTTCATGGCTGCTTCTCTTGCGGTACACCATGGACTAAGTCCGTTGGGTTTGAAACGCCTGGTTGAGCAAAACCAACTCCCGACTCCACAGAGATCCCCAGTGGAAACACAAGGAATACAAATTTCCCTCATTTGGACTGGTGCTCCGGTTGCTTTCTCCGTACCTCCCAACCAAAACACACCCCTCGCATCCATCCATCGGGCGGTTTTTGCGAACCATGGCCGCAAAGAACTGGGCCAGGCTTAAAGAAAGCTCCTGGACCCGGACACTCCCGAAGGAGCAGAAGGGAGTTCACTGGGTCCCAGGGAGTTCATTTTGGAGCCCACCTCATGTTTGCGGCTACTGTTTCAGGCTCCTTTGCACAGCACATTTTGGTGGCGCCTTCGAGCACATCTTGGTGGCCTAGGTTGTGTAAACGGATGTAAACGGGTGACGTTCACTCTCCAACTTGGCTGGAAACAATCCGATCCGGATCCCTCGGGTCGTGAAAAGCATGGGGCCGCAGTGAAAGATTTGGGTGAACCATACACATACATACAGGTGTGTTTTCTTTGATGGTACCCTTTTTTTGGGGCTGCTCTAAAAGGAAACCACAAGACTTAAAGAGTGTCTGAAATCCAGAAACTCGGGGAGCCAGTTGGATGATCTGCCACGTTAGTAAGTGGTTACCGCCAATTGGGTGTTGTTCACCCCCAAATAAGCTTAACCCCAACTGAGCAGGGGGGCTTGTAAGTAAATTATCAACAAACTTCCTGGACCCTCAAACTTCCCGTGAAAAAGGGACATCGCCCCATTCTGGACCTGCCCACAATCCGTTTTCATGGGTTGTTCGAGGGTACAGCTTCAAATCGACCACCCTCAGCAACCCCGAAGCCCGGAGCCCCAAGCCCGAAGCCACTCACCCGCTCACCCCGCCTTGCAGCAAGAGCACCAGGAGCAGTGCGCAGCCCACCGAGAGGCTGTGGCCAATGGCTGCGTCCTGGAAAAGCTGGAGCCAGCAGCTTAAAACGTCGGCTTTGGACCAGTCCTGAACAAGCGTTGGCTTTGTTGTCCAACTGGTTTCCTTTAAACCAACCCCGAACCCCGAACCCCCTCAAACAACACAGCCCCAGGTTGATCCACTGGATGACTACCGCCTCCCCACGTTGACGGATCAGTTACAGAGACAACGCTGCGACATGTCATGCCTTGCTGGAAGGCTAAGGTGGATGGATGGACCTGGCACGCAGCATTCAGGCTGGATAGACCATGCCGGTTTCGTATTTTGGCGTGGCTTCGCCACGATCTTCGCCTGAAAGGATGACTCAGCATTCAAGTTGCGAGTCGCTTCCGGCGCCTTGCGGCCACAGCAAAGCGGACATTGGCCATGACAAGCGCATCGCCAAGAAGTGCCAAAGGCTTGACAAGACTCAACAGGGAAAACCGCACGAAGTCTGATTCCGGGTCAAAAAGTGAGGGCCAAACACGGATCTGCGACCTGAAGCCGGAAAGGGTGCTGATTGCTCAGAAACGGCCGCGAGATCATTCCATGTGAGTTTTTCTTTGACACACAAGGCATGGCAGAGTTGCCTATACCCTCTTTGGCTTGCATGGCCTGGCCAGCTTTTGGCTGACCTTGCCTCTGAATTGCCCCCACCCTTGGGCTGTTTTCAACAAACGTTGTTCTTTGCAGCCCCGCACTGATGAGCCAGCAAAATTCCCCCAACAAGTGAAACACATGCCAAGAACCATGCAGGGAATGAAGTCCTTATGTTGGTACTTGGATGTCCGGCCCAATTAGTTACAATTTTCATGAGGACAAACCCAAATGGTTGTTTTCTGAAACCACGTCCACTGGTCGATTTGCTTTTGTTTTTGGGGCGCTGGATGGCTTGCTTTTCATTTTGGACCCCAAAAAAGCAGGCCCTGCGGCCCTGACCCGCATGAACATTCCGAAACGGGACAGCCAGTGAAAAAGGCGAAGGGGTGAATTCCCACGGTTGAAATAGCAGAGTTCAGACACGGGTTTTCTTGATAGGGAACCCGGCTTGGGAGTGAAAACCATATCAGAACTATCGCGCAAGAAACCTTCGGCGAGCCCCCGCGGTCCAGTGCGCCGTTGTTCGGGGTCGTGCTATCGCCGGTTCCGCCGGTTGTGCCGCCGCTTGTGCCGCCGTCTGCGGTGGTGGTAGTTCCTACCGGAGGGGGGGGTTCGGGAGTGGACTCACCAGCGATCGAGTGGACTGGCCAAGAAAAGTCGCCAAACCACTTGTTTGCCACTAAAAAGGGCCAAGCCCGCAACAAATGACTACCTACACCCTCGAACTCCGCTTAGCATGTCAAAAGGGAAATCACCCCGTGTTTTTTTCCCCCCCTTTTTTTTTAAGAGTGTGAGAGTGTGGGCAAACCTTGTTTTGAACAATTTCCATGAACGCATCCGGTTGACCATGGCACATATGATCGGGGCGAAATGCATTTGAAGCAACCCCTGCGTACACCTTCTCGATAATGTCATTGTTTGGTTCCACTATACCACGAAACCTAGTCAGCATTCTCACAAACCGCATGCCGCATATCTCCAAATCATAGTCAAATGGGAATCTTTCAAACTAGGGCCCCGAATGGTTAGTTCTCCTTTTGGTGTCCTTGGAGATACCAACCAAAAGCAGTCCGAAATCTATTTTGAGAAACTACCCTACCAGTGGTGGGAAACTACCCTACCAGGAGAGCCCCAAGCTAAAGTGTGTAAGCCATAGTAAGCAATCAGATAGCACCCCCAGTTGTGGCGGATCCACTGGGCAATCTCCAAAAGTGTGCTATCCAAGAATCTCCAAAACCATCTGCAACAAGACTGGCTTGCACTTGAAAGTCCTGAACATGATGATGGAACCACCCACATGCAAGCATTTCGTGCGGCATTGCACCTTCCATGAATCAATGCTCAGTGAATCTCCCAAATCATCCACCCACGCACGCACCCACCCACTGCAACGGACACTTACAAGCTATGTTGCAACGACCTTCGCCTGGACCTCTAGTGAGAATCCATCCCAGGTACTTTGAGGACTCGAAAACGCGTCCAAAACCGATCTGCGTGCCTACCACCAGAGTGTCGCTGCTGAAGCAGGAGCCGACAGTGGTCGGCATCCGCATGGGGTTGCTGCTGTCGACTGTGTTACTGTTCTTGAAGATGGTCTCGGACCGCTGGTAGAAAAAACACACGCGAAACAATAAGGGGGACGCGGATTGCAAAACACCCCCCAGAAACGCTAACACACATGCACACCACTTGGGCAAGACGCTTACATGCCAAAACTGGAATCGGTTGATTGTTTTTTGTTTTTTCCTTGGTTGCTGTTGAGCCCTCTGCAACAAGTTTAATTTGTTGTGGGCTTAATGGCAAATCCTCTGTTTCCCAAAAAATTAAAGTCCGGAGATCCAACCAACTGGCCATACAGTGTGTGCTTTGGCTGTTTGTTTGTTTGTTTGTTTGTCTGTCTGTTTGTTTGATTGATTGTTTGTTTTGTTTGTTTAGTTGGTTGGTTTTTGTTTGTTTGTTTGTTTGATTGCTTGTTTGTTTGACTGATTGTTTGTTTGTCTTTGTTTGCTTGCTTGCTTGCTTGCTTGTTTGTGTGCGTGCTCGCTTGCCTGTGTGCTTACTTGCTTGCTTGCTTGTTTGTTTGGGGGGTTGCAGGAATACTTTAATGAGGACAATGCCTTGCCCCGGGTGCCAAGGCTTTCCCGGGAAACTACTGTGGAAATGAAATCATGGTTGAAACCAGAAAGCTTGTCGGAATTTACAGGTGAATCATCAGTGACTTCTTGTTCTACCAAAATGCTTGTAAAGGTTCACATGGGGGGTCTGTCTTCTTTGTGGGTACCCTTGTTTGGGGGCTGTAAAGGAAGTCCAAAAAGAAAACCCACCATTTTGAGGGTCCCCTTAACAAAGATACACCCATATTGGCTTTTCTGTGAACGCGACAAGGTAGTAAAACCACCTACAAACAAATCGAATTCCAAATTGACTCTTGAGCGCTGCGCATTTGAACCTTTAGTGCAAGGAGAAAAGATTGCCTCCAATGCACCCCCGATTACCCAGACGGAAAGCGTCCACAACAAAGGAGTCCTACATTTCTATTGGAAGCATTGCATGGTTTTGCCGATGAGGCAGTCTTCAACCACAACCCCGGCTCAGTCGCATCTTTTCAACAAGGCGCTGGCACGCCACGCAACCATTTAGCTCCCTCAGGTTGTCACAGCGCACAAGGGGTCTGAGAGAAAGCTGATCGCGTAGGTACCCTCCCACACGTGAGACGCGTGACACACACAAGGCGCAACGCACAACGCACAGCGCCAAGGCCACACCCCAGCCAAAGCACAAGTGACTAAGGGATTGCCCAACCCCGTTCCCCGTCGTGGAAAACAAGGGGAGATCATGGTCTCAGTTGCCTTCAAGACGGGGGCCCGCATTTCCATTCATCTAGTATTCCCCATCAGGACCAAACATGGAATTATAGGGATCACCCCCCCCTCCTCCCCCAATTCAACGTTTGAGGGGCGGGGATGCTCCAAGCGAGCCAATGAACGCCAAGGTGCGTAACCCGTGTCTCCCGGGAAGATGGCCTTGCCATTCTTCACCGGGCCGCCGCTCTCGGTGATGTCGGTGGTGCCATACCAATCTTAGCGACTTGCGACATGACAGGAGTCTCATGAAAAAGACCTCAGGTGCAAAACACGGCATGGCTTCCTACATCCTCAAACTACCCGACTTTAAAAATGGGTGTTTTCCGCAAACATATGGCTGGAGATGTCTCTTTTTATAGGTACTAGTAGTTGGAGGGTCCGCGTTGTTGAATCCGGGGACAGCTTTGAATCTTGGAGGAGCCCAACTTGTTGTTTGCACACATCCTCATGCGTGCGACGATGCAAAACGAATCTTTAGAAGCGCCGAAGTTGTGTCACGAAGTTGTGTGTGTCCAAAATAGGGAACCCGTTTGGGGACTCTCACTATCAGACGTACCCAGCCCGGACAAGCCCGGAGTACTTGCTATGTGCACTTTTTGCATGTCTCTCTTGGCTTTCGTCCAAGGTCTAGGCCAAACTCCAAAGAACTGGAGCAAGGGGTCAAAGCTCTTGGTTGTAAAGGTTCATATGGGTGGGCTGTCTTCTTTGAGGGTACCCTGGTTTGGTGGCTTTAAGGGAAGTCCAAAAAGAAAACCCACCATTTTGAGGGTCCCCTTAACCTTGCTTGACGTTAGGGGAGCAAAAAATGAAAAAAGATAGCAGCGAAGTGGTTGGATTTCAACCACTCATCCACAATAAGCAAAAATGGGCAAATGTTTCCCAGCAACAACCATGAAAGGAGGTTGGGACAAAATTCGTGCGTGCCGTTTTGAAGAAGTGCACACATGAGCAACCTGCGCAGGTCGCGTGCTGGATTCATGCCGTCGCCTGCGAGTCATGATGGGGTGGTCTCTGGCTCGTCTTGACTGACATGAGACCCAAATTAAATGAACAAAGCAGCTACAATACGTATTTTTTTCAGGACAACTTGTACCTATAACTCAATGTAACAACACCAACCCATTCAACCCCTCGCTGTGTAGGGAGGAAATCAAAGGCCACCAAACCACTCCAGCATGATTGTGATAACCTTGGTGCAAGGGTTCTTATGAGGGTTCTGACAAATATTGTGTTCCCCAAAAAGGCCCAGTGGAGTGAGGTTAAACCAGTTGTGGTGAGATTCCTTTGCCGGCGTAACGCACCACTCTTCGAGTGGCGTAACCCCATCCCTAGTACTCAACTGGTTGGTTGGTTGATATGGGGTCAACATATGTCGACATTACACCTCAAAACCGGTCCGCGGCTTCCTTGGTTGACGTTGGAAGGGGAGCAAACAATTTAAATTTTAGCAGTTGAGTGGATTTGGATTTCAACCACTAAACCACAATAAGATCAAACATGTTTTCAATGTTTCCCAACAGCAACCATGTAACATCCCTTGGCAGAATGCACCAAAAGCTGCGCCTCGCGGTTGGCTTCCCCCAACATTTTCCCCAAATCCCGACAGGACCAGGAGCGCGCCAGGGGCACCTGAGCGCGCCAGGAGTCCCGCAAGGCCTGGCCCTGGGCAGTCTCTGCCAGCACCTCCGCCTCTCGGACGCGTCCCGCGCACGTCGCGAGCGCGCCGCATCGGGGATTGGTGTACAGGCCCGGATCTGCACGACCCGACCGAAAAAATGGATCAACCTGCAATGGTTGACGTTTTCTCTAGGGGGGAGGGTGCAGGTGCCCGTGAAAAAGGGGCATCGCCAACGATGTTTGCGAGGGTCCAGGTCGGGATTTGGGCAGACGCTCAATCCAATGAGGGCCTGGGGTCCAGCACCCCCCATGGCTTACCAATCGGCCAATCGGCCTTCAAGAGAAAGAGCAGCGCGCGGGCTCCGTCCTGACTGTAGCCTTCCCGCCTGGGCAAATCAACCGGGAATTGTGGAAAGAGTCCATGCTGACGCAACCAATCATGTCTGGTGCCCGGTGATGTCTCCGTGCAATGTCTGATGTCTGGGGCGTGGGATGCATGTCTTGTGTCCAGCGAGTCTGGTGCCATCTGAAGAACGCTTTTGGACTTGAGGGCAAACAAATCGATGGGTCCGTAATTATCGCTTGTGGAAAGGACTCCCCACCCATAAAAACCACCACGTTGGTCTAGGTTTTCCAGGTCCCGGGTCACTTTCGTTTTCATGATGGACCTGCAAGGGATCAGAATGACCCTCGGAGATCTCGAGATGGACTACCCCAAGGCTTTCCAGTGTCACTTTAGTAGGCCTTCCCTCTTGGTTTTGCCGTTGGTTTTGCCTAGGCAAGCCTACTACAGTGGCGAAACTCCGCACGCAAGCACACGGGTGGTTGCTTCAGTTATGAGTTGCATGACTCGGAGTACTAAGAAAACCATCCCTCAGGGCTTGGGTTTTTAGCGCGTTTACTCGCAAGTGGGTATGCCTCAGCTGGGGAGTCGCTTGTTCCATGAGTTTGAAAGGGAAGTGCCTAAATAAAGGCAGACTGAATTATCAACGGAAGAGGTCCATGAATTTGCATGACACAGCAGTTCCATTCCACTTCACGTATCCTCAACATATTCTCGACTATCAGTGCTATCCATAAACCAGAAGTAAGCTGAATTTGGCCCCACCCAGCCCGAATCGGTGACCTCGTTATTTGCCCAAACATCGAACCGGCAACCGGCCCATCCGAACAAAGTCGTCTCTAACTCGAGTCCCAAGAAGCACATAGCTGGGCCAGCCCCCAGCGGGGGCATACCCGGACGTGGCGATGATCCAGCCGTTGCCGTCCGTGTCCGCCTGCTGTTGCGGCTGCGCAGTTGCAACTGCGCCATAGGTGATACCATACTAAGGGGGTCCAAGTACCTCCTGAGGATCCTCCCAAGTGGACCCTCTGGGATATGAGAGAAACCATCCCCAATTACCCAGCACGAAGCGAATTGGTAAAAGACCTTCAAGAAACGCAGCCAAGGAAAGCTTCCGCCGCTTTTTGTTCCCAAAAAGATTGTGAGAATGACACTTGAGTGTGGTGTCCTTTTCGTGGGTGTTCCTTCGGCTTCTTCCGGGAACCCAACAGGCGTTCGTCCGAGCAAAAAAGCCCACTGCGTCTGGGGAAACCGCTTCGAACCAGGTGGACCACATGTCCTTCGTGAGGGCTACCAAATACCAACCTGAACCTTTAAACTACTGGACTAAACATGGGTTGTTGCCCCACAATTGTGGGGTGATGTCCATTTGTTCTGGGTAGTTTGAGGGTCCAGGAACGCTTTCCGTTGGTATTTCTTTTGAAAACCGATCGGTTTTCCAGGATGAGTTGTGCCGATCGCTTTTGTACTAAATAATTAACATCATACCCTGAAAAAAAGTGGGCATTGTGCGTAGGGAGCACATTCACATCAAAACAACTTGCAAGAAATGAGCCATGGCCGATTGGGTCATGGCTCTTAAAAATAGGAATCACTATGGTCATTCAGGATCCAACAACCAGGTGGATGACCATCCCAAGGTTAACCACAAGAGGAACCTGTCTTTGACCATGGCAGACGTGATTGCGGGCAAACATTTCTACAAATGCACGGACCTAACATCAGGAACTCCCACGTAAGAGACCCCCCAACATGGGTGAAATCGGGCGCCAAATTGCCCAAACTAGTCGAGGGTCCGGATGCAGCTTCTTGCATTCTGGAAAGTGCCCACCCTCAAAAGTTGAATGGAGTCTTGAGTCAGCTTCCAAGTCCTGCCCCCCGCGTGAATGACAAGGCAACCAAAAACACGCTTAAGAAAAAGCTCAACCACCAGCACCACCCCCTCCCCACCAACTGCTTTTTCCCATGTCCAAAATGGCAAGTACTGTCCAAAAAGCAGTAGTTGGAGGGTGCTGGCTAGGGTGAGTCTTTGTTGTGGAACATCTGGGGGGGTGTCCTCCAATTTGTAGACAAGCCGATCGATTGTATTTTGCCCAGAAACCCAAAGAGCGCCAAAAGGCCCCTTCCAAAAGTCCTGCACCTAAGAAACCCTATGTTCAGCAGCCATGGTTTCAGCAGCCAAAGTATGGCGAGCCCATGTTGGAAGATGGTCTGACTGCCGCCTTGAGATGGGTTGAGCCGACAGCTCGCCAGAAGCCAACTAGGTGCTGCTCGCCCGATTGAGGACGCCGATGCGAAAGCTTCCAAAACGGGACCTTCTTGGGCCTTCGATTCGCCAAGTTAGCAAGAAGGTAATCGTTTGGTTCTAACCCACTTTTTTCTAACCCACTTATAAGTCCCCCGTGAATGTGGGGTAACCTTGCTATGACGGGGTCGTACCTGACTAGCCACTTACTAACTTGGCAACGAACATCCAAGTGGTAAATGGAATCATTAAACAACAAAACACTAAACTCCATTGGAACCCATCTACTGACCAAACTAAGCAACCCCCAGCAAGCAAACCCAACGAACCTGACTGGGGCACAGAACTCACTAAACCAGCCTGACCCATCGATTTGTCTCCCTTGACCCTCAAACCACCCATAAAAAAAAGGGAAAACCACCAATCAAAGAAAGTGTGGGCTGCAATCATCAATGTTTATGGGTAGTTTGAGGGTTCAGGTACCCTCAAAAAAAAAGGACGAGTCCAACCATAAGTTTGGGCTGCAATCACCCATTGTTCGCCAGGTAGTTCTTTCAGGTCCAGGTGCCCTGGCTGACCCAAAACAAAGAGGACGCCTGCAGCGATTCTTTTCTCTCCAACCCCACCGGAAAAAAAAAGGGCGGAGACAGACTGGACTCCTGTCGCGGCTTTTTTCTACCCAACCTCACCCAAAGCGCAGAAAGAAAACATCAGATCCCCTATAGCCGCCCCGGCCAAAAAAAACAACGGCCAAAAGCCGCCGCAGAAAAATCAGATCCCCTATAGCCGCCTAGCCGCCCCGGGGGAAAAAAAAAGCCACGGCCAAAAACACAAATCGCCGTTCAACGACGCCGACGGCCAAAAGTCGCCTGCGGCATGGTGAAGCAGGGGTTGGGCCACGCGGTGAAGGACTCCTCCGCGGCCACGTCCACCAGGGCGAAGCGGCAGCTCAGGCCTCGAGCCGGAAAGCGATGGGGAAGAGTTGCAGGCGGACGTGTCTCTTGCTTATGTATGTATATATATATATATGTATATATATATATATCTATATATATATATTTATACATAGGTAGATACACATTGTGTTTTTTTTTGGGGGGGGGTTTTCTCCCCCGTGTCTTTGTTCTTTTTGCGGCGGGGGGGGTTAAGTACTGTCCGGGGGGGGGGGGTAAAGTACTGGTTTCAGTACTCTATGATTTTTGGGTTTACTTTTCTTTGGGGAGTACTATGTTGTTTTGGTTTGTTTGGGGGGTGGGTGGGTGGGTGCTTGGGTGGGTGGGTGGGTGGGATGGGGTGGGGTGGGGTGGGGTGGGGTGGGGTGGGGTGGGGTGGGGTGGAGTGGGGTGGGGTGGAGTGGGGTGGGGTGGGGTGGGGTGGGGTGGGTGAGTGGGTGGGGATGGGTGTGCGGGGGTGTGGGGGGGGGGGGTTGAGGTTTACTATGGCGGATTTGAGTCACAATCAATGGTATTGAGATGGCCATGACTAAAAAATGGTTGCCACATTGGGAAAGTGAGAGTAGGTTTCACCAGTACTTGAGATGTGGGATGATCACAGCCATGTGTCTGCAAATGTCTAAACATGACCCCTCCAATTGGATGTGTGTTTTCCCGCAAGCTGGTCAAGGCACAAGTGTCAGTCCACGTCAAAACTTGGATTATCCCCTTCCAAGTGTACCGATGCTCTTGACACGAAGCGGCCATCTCTCCAAACCTGTCGGTTTATTGTTGTGTTTGTTGGGGGCGGGGTACCCATTCAAACCAAAAAGGCAGTGAATCCCCAACAGGGAAAAACACGGCATGGGACCCGGGTGCTGGACGACGACAAAACATGCTGGCACGCCCCTCCCAGAAGTTCAACAGCTACCTGCATTCGTTGTGTTGTTTTGTCCCTTATGAGTGATGTCCTTTTCGGGGTAGTTTGAGGGTCCAGGCATATTCTTAATCAACTGGACCCAGATTCCTCTTGGTTTTTTTGTTAGCCAAACATTTTTGGGTACCTTAAAAAAACTGACAAACCAATATGCCCAGTGATCGATTCCTTTTAAAACCAACAGGGGGGAAATCAAACATATTCACCAAATGGACTGTATTCCGTGCTAGGCGCCGCTGTTGGAGTACCCACAGGCCGAGGTCTTGTTGGGCAGCAGACCGTCCTGGCAAATGTCGAAACCCGATGACTTGGGAATCCATTTTTGGTCGGAAATGTCGGAGGGTTCAGGTATATACCTACTCCACAGTAAAACATAGAACCCAACAAACCCACCACTTTTAGAGGAGCCTTTGGGGGACCCCAACATGGGTTCCATGTTCATTTGTAGGGGAGTAAAATGTAAGGAATCACAAGACAGGCCTCCTCTTTATGCAAACGAGTCATGAGACAGGAGTGTGAAACACCCGTCACTGCATCTGCGTGTTTTCGCTCAGAAACGATCTATATACAAGCCCTGTTTGGCAGAATGTTTGTCTTTTCCAATCCAACAGCGTTGCTGAGTGAGCAGTTGAGGGGGTGGACAATTTGTCTGGAAACCCATATGCATAATTAAGATGAATTGCATCACTTAAAGCACACCATGTTTTGCCCAAAGGATCGGGTTTTCAGGCTCGCCTGGAAAAGACCCCAAAATGGCAATCAGGTGTCCTTTCAAGTCCTTCCCATGTCATTCATGTTCCCAAGCTGGCAGAATCGAAAAAACAAATGGTGCGGTGGAAAGGCAAGGATTGCCTCGCAACCTGGACCCTCAAACTACCCTCAAAAAAGTCGGAGATCCCCCCAAAATGTCGGGATTTTATTCTAGGGGTTGATTCCTTATCCATTCTTTTCAGCCATCGTTCGTTTAAAAACCCAGGCATTTCCCAAGGGTTTTTGGTGGTTTCTAGAAAGAAGGATCCCTGAAAAGAATGGGGATATATACTGCTAGATTTATAGGTAATTTTATGGTCTAGGGGGAACGGTCGTGAAAACAAAATCCCTCAACCTGAGGTCAAGATTTCAGCAGCCCCTCCAAGTTGCCCATGGTCGGACACCGGAAACCGTTTTTGGGGTGACCACTTTTAGTGGAGAATCCACTTCAGTGAGTAACAATAAGTTAGCATACGCAACCAACACAGTTCGCAGAGAATTGGAGACCTCCACGCAACAACAAAAAGGTAACCGCTACTAAAAGTGGACCAAAACAGGACAAATGAACAGGTCAAAGGGTCAATTCACTTTGGTCAAACAAGGTCAGCCTTTGGTCTGGCAATAATACCCAGCACCCCCCCCCCAACTGTTCTGCTTGTTCGACCAGGTCAAAAACCCCAAGTTCTGTCCAAGAAGCAATGGTTGGGATGTGGTGGTCTGGTGGTGCTGTTTTTCCGCAACAGCTGAAAGCTATGGAGGTCGATAGGCCCAAAGAAGCAACAGAAGAGAAAAGCGGATCTGAGTGGTTTGGCCCAAAACTGTCCCAATTGTTTTTTTCACCACCAAAATAGTCTTCCCAAAAAGTTTTAAAGTCCAGAAACTCGCGGAGTGAGTTCTACCACTAAAAAACAACAGACCCCAAAAACCCAAAAACCTTTTCAAACATGCAACAAAAACAGCCCCCACGGGCGAGTGGCCTCCACTGAAATGTCTCACTTTCTCTTCAAAACGGCTGGCTGGGTTTTCACTGGCCGGTCCCGCTGCAGGAAGCCGCAGTCGTGCTGAGACATCCGCCAGTCGAAGCCGATGCACCTCACAAAATTCCGGTGAAGCGAGCGAGCGATCAAAATGCAATATCTCGGCTCTGGGGTGCACTGCGGAGCGCACCCTTTTCTTGAGCCAAAACCACACGGAGTGCAATCAGCGCATTGGGCAATTATGACTATACATATCATGACTCCTCCTTGCTGGAAGAGCGTCTCTGTACACGCTCGCACAGCAATATAGGTAGCGGAGTCTGGCCAGGGACCTTAGCCTTCTAGTAGCTTAAGCTGTCCCTTGCTACGCTGGTTAAGGAAAACATAACCACACCTTCGCATGGTCTCAGACATCTGTACACCTGGAATGCTCTTTGTTAGAGCATCCGCCCTGTTGGACTTGCCAGGGGTATGCTCCACCCTCAGATGGTCCATGCTGACCCTTTCCTGCAACCACAGGAACCTCGTCTGGATGTGACGGGCCTTTCCCAGACCTGCCCGATTGACAGTTCCTTTTGCTGCAGTCGCATCTGATTGAATCAGCACCTGGGTCTCGACCGCAAAGTCCTCCAAGAGTGACTGTAGGCCTAGACCAACTGAACCTCCTTTGACAAGAGCATAATACTCCGACTCCCCAGTCGACAAAGCGATGGTCGACTGCACATTGCTGCTGTGCTTGAGCACATGCAACCCATACAGAGCAACCATGCCTGTTGTGGATCTCCTCGTTATTGCGTCTCCGGCATGATCGGAATCCACCTGGATTCGGAGCTTGCTCGGCTTGGCTTGCCGTGCAAAGACCTGACACACGTCCGGCTTCTTGATGAGGTAGCGACACAGTCGCTTCAAATCCTGCAAAGATGCCTCTGTAGGAGAAACCATCTTCCTCGCAAGATTCTTCACAGCGTGGCTGATGTCCAACCTGTCCTGTGACAGGTACGCTGCCCTCATCACGCATGAGCGATACAGGGAAGCCTGCTCTTTCGGTAGAGCTGGGCTCCGGGCTTCCTGCATCTGCAAATCCACGGACTTCTTCACGTCCGGTGTCTCCGCTCCCTTGGCATTCTCCATGCCAAGCTGCTGCACAAGCAAATCAACATGGCGTCGATCTGGCTCGATCAGGATCGCACTCGCTCCTTGATGTTGTTCACAACGAATGAGCCGGTTGAGAAAGTGGACCTCCTTGTGGTCTCCTTCCTCATCACCTATCGTCCCGAGCCATTTCAACTCGTAGGCACTGCGAAGCAAAGTATCTACTTCCTTCAGCGCCTCGGCGTCTCCTAACGCCATGAAATCATCTCCGTGCACCAGCACTCTTATTCCCAGTGTCGGGTGATAGAACACTGAGCCATTTGACTTTCCCCGGAGATATCCGGCTTTGATCAACAGCTGCGTGTAGTGCTGCTGCCATATGTTAGGGGCATCCTGTGTCCCGTACATCGACTTAGTCAAACGACCCACCATTCCCGGACTGGCGTCCTCGTCCGGCAACTGGATGTATATGCGGCGTTTGGGTACGCCATAGAAGTGGGCTCTTGATATATCCCAAAGTCCGATCTTGAGTGGTCGTCCTCCATGGGATACACGCTCAGTGGCCCATAGGCTACATAGCAGCCTCATAGCCTCTAAAGGCGGTGTTGACGAAAACAGCATGTTCTGAGGAATCCTTTCCTCTGGACTCTTCCGGGCCTTGATCTCCCGGACCACCAATCTCGACCTGAAGTTGGGATTGGCGGGGTCTCCCTTGTTGGTGTCTATCCAACGGGTGGTGATTGGACCCTTCCCGTTGGTCTCTCTGAGGCATTCCTCGAGCGGCACCTTCTCGTAAACCTCTTGCTTCCTAAGATAGTCCAACTCGAGCTGACGCGCCTCCCTGACTCGGTCTGGTGGCAAAAACCCACCATTCACGTCGTCCCAGTACTGCTCCACGTCTTCCGGCGTCACGAAGCTCTCCTCTGGGATTGGACCTGCAACTGCTGCGTCCAATGCACTCAACTGGCCACTCTCTACAAGGTGGCTCTTCAAAGTCTTCAGGACCGCTCGCACTAGCGCTGGCGGATAACGGGCCGCCGGTCTAGCGAGTCCTCCGATCAGGTGGATGTGCCGGTGCCATGGTTTCCCCGGCACATTGTTGGTGCATTCGCCCTCCAACAGTTGGGCCAAACCTGGATGGTTGGTCATCCAGCCAGTTTCTTTCCGCACATATCCTGTGCCCTGCAAACCCCTCCGGTCCGTAGCGACCATAGCCCATCTGCACATTGGGCCTCGGACAGTGTACACGTCCGGTCTCTCAGTGAGCTCACGGACCTCCGGGTCTTTCCAAGAGGTAGCACTCCACGGTGCCTCATGCAAGAAGAACCTACCTGCCTGCAACTGCTTCCTGTAGAACCTACAGGCGGTATGCAAATGAGCAACTGCTCTATCCATCTTCTCGCGCCTCTTGTCTGGGCTCACCCTGTACTTGTTGATGTTCTGGAGCTGGGAGAATTGGTCACAAGGTGGGCTCCCTGTGAGCAATGTCGGCTCGACCTCGTCCACATACTCCTCGAGCTCTCGGACGTCCTCAGCTTGCTGAGATCCCAGTAGGAACCGTCCGGTTTCTGCTCCTCAAGGTCTACCGCAAAGCCCGGCCTCAAGCCATACTGCCCGGCTTGGGCCGTGAACCGCTTCGGGCTGTAGATCTCCATGATATCAACAGCGCCCATCTCCACGCACAGCTTGGTGATCTGCTCCAGCTCGACCGCGTTGATCTCCACCTCCTGAGCCAAAAACGCTCTCTCTACTTTCCGTCCAACCATGGACTTCAACATCCTCTTCAATCGACCCAGTTCAAGTCCACCCACGTCTGGGGGCTTGTCCGGGGTGTTTGAAGTCTCGGCGTCAGCCGCCGGTTGAGTCTCCGTTCGGAGTTCTTCAGGAGATACTGCGGGCTCTCGCTTCTCACCTTGCTTCTGCTGCGTCTTCTGCTTGGCTCCGGGCGCTATATACAGCGCTCCCGGTCTCTTGATCTGCGTGGTCGGCTTCGCCTTGCTCTTTGGGCTACTCGATGCTGGCGGGTCTGCTGCTGCTCTCTTGAGTTCAGCCCTCTTCGCGGGATCCTCCACATACTCCATCACTTGTCCAGGGTCTTGCCTAGATCCTACTCCGGCCTCAGCGGCCGGCTCTCCCATGGCCTCTTGGGCTGGGAGATCTGCTTCCACTCCTACTTCCGCGGTCTCCTCTCTTTTCCTTTTGTGAGCTTCGACACGGCGTCGTCCTTGCTCATCATCCATCATGAGACCGACGATTCTCGCTCGGCACATCTCAGTGTGCGGCAACTGAGTGGATTCCCCTAGTAGCACGCAAGTGCATCCAGGACATCCATCAGTAGGTTGGTACTTCTCCACATCTGCCTTACGGATGTAAATCCGTCGCTGCTGTGGCGGTGCCATAACAGGCACAACCTGAGGCGGAACCTCAACCCGGTCTTCACTGACCAGCAGGTCCTCCACTCCTTGAGCAGGAGTTCCCGGGGCCCTCTGCCCCGGCGTTCCCGGCGCTCGCACTGAGACCTCCCACGGGTAGCCTTTAAGGCTTTCCCATCCTTGTGGATTCCATTGATCTTCTTCTGGAAGTCGACGAACACCAGTGCCTCTCTTCACTCCTTCTGAGGTCACAACCAGCAAAGTGCCAGTCCTTCCGTGGTGACCTATGTACCTGCCTTCCTTGAGTGGCCTAGCTCCTTCTCCTACCTCACGGTAATACAACCGCTCTCCTATGGCGATTGCCGGCTTTCTCCATTCTCGGCCACACCTCCTTTGTTCCGGTGTCTTCCCGTCGGAACCTCTCTTGTACCTGCACATCAGGTCTGCTGCATGCCTTGGAAACCAAGACAGCACAGGGTCGTCATCCTTCAAGACTCGACCCAACTTCTCCTCCAGTGAGGATCGCAGGACTCTCACCTGCCTTTTGAGTTCTCGGCACAAGTTCTCGATTGCGCCATTCGCCCGGTGGTCAGCCACCGGCGACTCCTGTGGAACATTCTCCACTCCTGCTTCCTTGGCCGCCTGCTCCTTCAGGGCAACGATCGAATGCTCACCATCACTCTTGAAGACTGCACGACGGTAACCAAGATGCTTTATAAAGTTCGCCATGAATTTGACCGCATATGGCGTCGGTCCTTTTGCGTCCACGAAGGTGGCCGCAACGGCCAGTGTCCGACTGTCTCGGATCACCAGGATAGGCTTAGTCTTCCCATCCTCCTTTCCATCTCGCGTCATCCATGTGTAGTCGCACGAGATTGTCGCGAGCTCATCGCTCGCCTTGTCCTCTTCGGGTCGTGAGCGATGCTGCTGACCCAATCCTCTGCCGGCAAGACAATGCCGACACCAGTTGCGATACTGCACGTGACCTGTTGCCTCATGCTCCGCAACCTCGGCCCTCGATGGGCCTCCTGGTGCTCTCACCAGTGCGGGCGGCGCGATCTCGCCGCTCTCATCCATCTCATCACCCTCGGGCACACCTGCGGGTCGGCCCGCTGGTGCCTCTGGGTTCCCTTGTCCGGCACCCACGGCATCATCTGCCGCTGCAAGTGGTTTGGCCGGACTTACGCCTCGCTGGACTGCCGTCCAAAACCCGAACAATCTTCCGACTTCAAATAGAAGTTGTAAACTCCTTTCTCTTGGTATATGGGCAACCAAGTCTTCTTTTGGGCTTTACTGGGCTTGTTGAGCAACTGCTGAATTTTCCTTCCTGTCGCTGAGTCTGCTGGAATCAACTGTCCACCATTTTGATCAAGAACAGCCATCCTTCCATGGTTGAGGCATTTGTAAGCTGAAACCAACGGTTTGTGTACCGGTGCTAATGGCCCTGTGACTTTACACCTGGAACCTGTTTCACTCTTACCTTGAAACGTCCCGGTTCCGGTCCCAGGGACCAGTTCCCCCGATGCTGTCTTGAACATCATCTGGGCTCCTTCCTTAGTGGGGATGCGGTCTTTCCAATCCACTGGAATAGCAGTTTGAGCAGCCCCCGTATCAAGGTTGAACCGAACCCAGTTTGGGTCTTTCGGGGACTCTCCCTGGGTGAATGCACCCAGCTCAAACATTCCCACTTCGGCCTCCGGTTGTTCTTCTTGGTCTCCAGCTTCGTAGTCGGCGTCCTCGAATCCTGCCACATGCTTCTGCTTGGAGCCAGACTTCCCTGAGCCTTTGGAACCTTTTCCATCCTTCTTCTTGCTCCAACACTCGGCCGCTCTATGGCCGGGCTTACCACAGTTGAAGCATGCTCCTGCGGGTCCTGAGCTGCCTGAACCACTGCCTTTACCTTTTCCTTTGCTGTCCTTACCTTTTCCTTTGCCTTTGCCTCCACCTTTGTCCTTTCCCTTACCTTTGCCTCCTTTCGAACCTTTCGAGCCTTTGACCAGCGAGTTGAGCACCTTCGTGATGGCGTCCACGTCCATCGGAGCGGGGCCTTGCCCCGATCTCGAAGCCCCACTGGACCCCGGTCGATGGATCGTCCCCTTGGCTCCCGTGACTGTTTCAATCAGAACCTCAATCTCCTGTTTCATTTCCTCGTAGGTTCCCAGCCGGTTCTTGTTCAGAATGAGGTGGCGCTCAATGTCGGTTGGAACCAGAAGTTCTAGGGACGTACACTTTATGTCCTGAGAGAGGATTTCCCTCTCGCCCCTTTCGTTCCTTCTGGCCTCATATCGGCGCATCAAATCATCTAGTTGTTCCATGGCCGGTCGAACTGCTTCCCAAGACTTAACTCTTTCGGGGTTGAGGATGGCCCTTAGGATGTTCCTCTTCCTACCTGCGGTGAGGGGGTCCCATCTCCTGTTAAGCCTTCGCCATGCCTCATACCCGTTCTTGGCATTGATGACCAGATCTTCGGACTCATGAGTAGTAAGGGATGACAACAACCTATACAGCTGGTCTCCCTTATCATCCAGTCCGGCCATTCCCAGTTCACCTCCATGTTCCTCTTCTACCTTTTCAACAGTGATCTCCTCATCCTGATCAACTACCCATTCAAGGATTGACTGGAAACTGGATCCAAAGATTGCCGTTGTGAGGTTCACCACAGACCGGGCCCATCTACGGAAGTGGCCGTCATCATTGGAAAAGACTTCCGGTCTTCCAATCCCTTTGGTGTCTATCAACAACTTCCTATCTCCTTCTGCAGGCTTGTAGCTAACCTACCAAGGTTCTCTGCCAAAGCAGCTATACCTGCCTGGCCTTGCCTAAGAAGTTGATTCTCCTGTGACAACCGCTCAACTGCCTGCTGCAACTCTCGCACTGTTTCCTCCATGCCTTATATCCGGTGCCAAGCACCGGGAGGTCAGTCCGCCTTCCCGGACTCTTCTGTACTATAGTACGACCCCGAGCTCGATCCGCTTTTCGGAGCGCTCTCCGGCTCCGGCGCCGGTTGATCGTAAAGGTGCACACTGCCCTCGGTCTCGCTCAGGGGTGTAGTCGGCGACGGAATCGGTGGCGGAGGTGGCGGCCGCTTCGGCCGAGCCAGCGAAACCTTCGGCTCGCTCTTGGGCTTCTCGATGTGGGCCTTCTCCTTGAGCACCCACTTCGGTCTTGGCGATGGAGGTGGTACCTTCGCCTCTATAGCCGCTTTTGCAGGAGGTGGCTTCACCTGAGGCTTCGCGATAGCTTCCGGTACTGACTTTGAGGTCGTTCCTACCGGTGCGCGCCTCCTTGTCGCCCCTTTTGCAATTGCTGCGGCCCTGGCCAACAATGATGGCCTCTGAAGGCGAGTCCTCTCGTCGCACGAGGAACACGGGTTCCCTAACCCGTCCAGTTGCAGCACACTCTGCTGGATGGCTTTGGCCACCGAGCCCGTTGCTCCGGCTCGGTATGCAGCTTCTGCCGATGCCGCCTTCCTGAGGCGGTAGTTCGAGGCCAGGTTCTGCTCGCTCGTCCCTTCACCGCGGGATGTCCTTGCCACCGCAAGCTCTTGTATGTTCCTGTGCACCGTAACCCGTCGGCCGAGAGCTTTGGCTGCCTCGGCGACCGGTGCCAGCAGCTCGGGCTCAGCGCCCGGTGAAGGCTCCTTTCCTTGGGCCTTTGTGAATCCCTTCGGCGGTGTCTTCGGAGCAGGGCTGGACTTAGGCGGGGACTTCGGTGGTGTCTTGGGCTGCACCCGGCGCCTCTTCCAGGGCGCCTGCCCGAAGTTCTCGATCTCCTCCTGGAGCTCCGCGGATGGCTCTTCCTGCTTCTTCTGCGCGAGCTTCAGGAGGCCTTTGAGGATCCTAAAGTGCCGACTGTTTTGGCTTCTCCTCTTGTCTTTGCCAGTCGCACTCTGCCACCACCGAGATCCTGACGACCTAGGCGTGTGAGCGACCTTGGGCTCGGGCTGGATCCTGCCCTCGCTGCCCCAATCGCCCCACACGCTCTCGTCCTCGCTCTGGCCCTTCTGCTCCAGGTCGAAGTCCGTGGCCTCGGGCTCAAACTGCTTCTTCTGCGGCGGGTGGAGGTCCTCCTTCTTGTCCTCGTTGGTGTATTGTTCCAGCTCCTCCTCCTTCTCCTCTGCCCGGCTTCCTCGAGCCGGTTCTGGGCCCCTGTGGCCACTTGGCAGAGCCTCTGGCTCTGAGGAGGGAGGAGATGCAGCCTGGGATCCTCCCCAGTCTGCTTCTGACTCAGCGGCAGGCTCAGCGGACAGGGTGTCTTCTTCTCCTTCACTCGGAGGGGCAACTAGCTCCGGCCTCTCCTTCGGCAGCTCTTCCGCTGCCCCGGTCTCCTCGACCGGCTCTGCGGCTTTGCCTTTGCCGCGAGCGGGCCGCCTCCACGGCGGCTCCTCCTTGTTGCTCTTGCCCCTGCCCTTCTTGCCCTTGCTCTTGCCCTTCTTGCCCTTGTTCTTGCCCTTGGGCCCCTCGTACGGCTTTCCAAACCAAATGGACCGTCGAGGCTCACCCGCTACCATCAAAATGCAATATCTCGGCTCTGGGGTGCACTGCGGAGCGCACCCTTTTCTTGAGCCAAAACCACACGGAGTGCAATCAGCGCATTGGGCAATTATGACTATACATATCATGAGAGCGAGGTAGCCCGAGGCTCAAAAAATTGGTCGACCCAAGAAACATGTCTCACTGCCAGTTGCTTTTTCGCCCCCTGGAAAATGGGAAATAAATCCAGTAGTGATAGATTCCCTTTAAAACCAACAGGGGAAATACACTTAAGCAAATCAAAGCTCAGTGGATCCATTTGCCTGGTTTAGTATTTGTGGGTTGTAATGACCCCATTTTTTGCCGGGCATGTTGAGGGTTCAGTTATTTCCAGTAGTGTTTGTTAGATTCCCTTTGAAACTAGCGGAAATACCACACTCCATGCTCCTGTTATCCAAGGGTCTGGGCCACCCTTCAAACACCAAAAGGAAAATGGCTGGCTACTTGGTTGTTCGACTCGCCAAGTTAATAAGTTGTAACATCAACCGTTTGGCTATAACCCACCTAGAAGTCCCCCTTCATACTCAAACATAGGCGTCCTTTTTGGGAAAATAGATGGCCCTGGTAGTTGATTGAACCAGGCAAACCAGGAATCCCCTCTACTTTGCAACCAAATCACCCAAAAAGGACACCTTCACAACCCAAAACGGCGACCCACCCAACCCAACCCCAACCCAACCCAACCCGCCCCCGCTGCATCCGCGGCATCCGCGTCCTCCGCGCCTCTGGGTGCCGTCCCGCCAGAAGGTGGCGCAGAGCTCCGCGCAGAAGTCGAAGGAGGGCTGCCGGCCCAGGTCGCTGGCGCTCACGGGCACCGAGAGGTACTTCCAGCCGTTGGTCTGCGTGGCAGGCGTCGGCACGAATTCGGCGCGAAGGCTTCGGCGAAGCGCCGGAAGGGGCGGGAGGTTTGAGGGCGGGAAATTCTGTTTGGGGGAAGTAGGGGTTGATGTTGGGGGGGGGGGGGGGGGTTTTGGGGGGTTTTGGGTGAAATGGGGCTTAAAGGGTTGCGAGGGTATGCGAGGGTTTGTTGGGGATTAGCTTTGATGGGGGGTTGGGAGCTTTGGGTGGGGGTGTTGGGGGTTCAAAGACATGACATGTTGAGCTCGTTGTTTATATACACATATGTATAGAAGGGTGCATCTCCCCTTTCCGTGCAGAACATAAGCTGTTGAGGCGGCATCGCCAATGGGAGGACGCTGTGAATGGGCGAGGCTTGCCACGGTTGCATCGCGCTAGGAAAGGTCCCCCCCAAAAAAAACCATCCCGTCAGGCGTCGACTCGAACACCTAGACTATAGGTTTTTCAGTAGAGAGGTTAGAAAAAGGGTACCCTTTTTTCTGTAGTCTATTTTAGTAGGGGAACCCTCCCCCAAAAATGGAGTGAGAAAGGGCACTACTGGGGCACCCAGTAGAAAAGGGTCTTTGCAACTCCACAAAATGAACCCAGCCAAGCTCCTCATTTGACACGCATCCGGCTGGGGCTAGGAACAAGCTATACCCAGGAATCCCAGAGCAGCTGACCCCTTCGAGGTCTGAGTTCAGACCTCCGTGAGGGAGGATACCAAAGGGAACCCCCAAAAGGCTGAAAAAAACGTTTTTCGGGGGTGCGGTTACACCCGGTTTGGTTTGAGACACTCCTCTCCCACAAGGTCCAAGTATCTTCTAAGGAGGTACTGAACCACCCCTTTACCCACCCAAAGCCATCCTTATGAGGTACCAAGGGACCCTCTGGGTCTTGTTTCCTTCGGCCTTTGGCATCCGTCGAGAACGGCAACGCACGGTCTCAATGCGCCTTGCTGAGCCCAATGCTCGCGTGCGGCAGCATGGAGAAGAATTGGGTCCAGTCGAAAGGCACGTGTCGCCTCCAAATGCGGAGCGGCGCAAAGGCTACAAGCGGCGCAAAAGTGAGCGACAAATGCCAATGCAACAAACCAAACGCCCCCGAATCTGTTGTGCGCAAAACAACCGATGTTCAGACTATGGTCCATGTTTAGTCTGCCCTATGCTTCTTTCCGGAGACCCCAGTGACTGTTGTTTCACAGTAATTCTTGGCAAACCATGGTCATCGAATCGGCTGAGGATTGCTCTTGCACCGTGCCCGTAGACTTAGCGCAATCTCCGCAATACTTGAAGCAAACCGGGATGACTAAATTAAACGGGTTTAGGGGAATCCCAAGATTGTGAGTTTCCATTTGGCTTCCCCTTAAAACCGCAAGACAAGTGGTACCAACTCCAAAAACGACACCCCCAAATGGGAACATGGTTGCTTTCTGCTCCCCTGCCAAAGTTTAACTTTTAGTGGTTTAATGGAAAACCCATTAGTTGGCAAAAAGTGTTGCAGTCCTAACATCCCTTGGCAAAATGCACCCCCAAACCTCCATTTGCTTAAGTCCCTGGAAAACAAATGAAAATAATTCCAGTAGTAATAGATTCCCTTTAAAACCACCAGGTTTAAAAATATATATATATATATTGACCAATAGATTCCCTTTAAACCAACAGGATAAAAAAAAAAAAAAAAAAAAAAAAAAAAATCTTGACCAAATGGAAGCAAATGAATTGGAGCCTTGTGCCATCTATCCCATCTCTGAGCTCGGCGCTGGTAAACTCCTGGCTTCGCAGGGAGGATCGCAATGGAGTTGGAGGTGTCCGTGACATAGTACCTGCGAAGGCGAACACCGATTCAAACACAAAGCATAAACTAACTTACCTCTTAAAACTCCAAGCCCTGGGGAAGTTAATCTTTTACAGACATATAGCCCATGTTACCCAACAAGTTGAAAAGTTGTGTTTTTAAGAGGTAAGCTAAGGTTGACCCCAGATTAATCAACCCAGCAACAATGTATGTACATATGGGCAAGTGCTCAACTAGTTCAGACCCAATATGAATCAGCCACAGTGGAATAAATGACATGAAGCAAGCTATGTTGGCCCCATATTGTCATGTTGACCCCATATGGGTGTGGCTCAAAATGAAAGAGCTAGGGTGAACCGCAGGTTTTAGTCTTTGGTTCCATTTACCAAGGTGCCATGTTGCGCATGTTGGTACATCTTTTTGAGCCACAGCCATAATCAACCCCAGTTTAATAAGGGGGTGTCCCTGGGTTCAGTGGTGAATCAGACCACTTTTGGAGGGGATTCCCCCCTCATAAAGTAAAATATAACATTTAAGCACCCCGGGTCCCACTTGTGTTTCTGCTTCTTCAACCATGCAGCCCAACTCCCGAAAAGGGGCATGTTGAATCGAACCCCCACCAACATTCGTACATGTGGGCTTGGACCCCTCCTCCCCTTTCAAGCCAGGACAAAGGTTCTGAGCCTCAAAGAGGTACACGAGAAAAGGCGTTCTCGCAAAAACTTGAGGGACCAACTCCTCCAGGTTGGTTTCTTCTTTCCCTTCAACAATCCAAACCAACGGGCTCCGACCACTTGAACATAGGTACCCTCAAAAATTGGACAAGCACCTGTCTTGAGGGTTTCTAACCATTCCTCTCAACATTGGGTTTCCCGGCTTCTCTCTCTCAAGCAAAATGTGGTTTCCCTGGGGTTTCTGCAATAAAAAAACAGACCGGTCCCCGTGCTCCTCACACCAACGGAGCCCAGAAAAAGGACCCACGGAGCCGTGAGGGCCGAGAGCTCGGCGTGGAGCGCCCGCCTCTTGATGCCCTCGGGGTTCGGCAAGATGACGTCGAAGCCGGTGGCGCGGAAGGCCCACTGTAGGCGCTCGCCCTGGTACTCGCCTGCGGAGAATGGGGGGGAGGGCTGGGTGGGGGGGGAGCTGGGTGGGGGGGAGCTGGGGGGGGGGAGCTGGGGGGGGGGGAAGAGTTGGCTGCGGCGAATTCAAAAAACCCGGAGAATTCCAAAATGGGTTGCCCTGGTAAGTGGAAACATGGACCAAAACCTACGTAACTGGGGGGGAGAGTTGGGGGGTGGGAATTGGATTTTTGGAAGGAGCGGGTAGGGAGGGTTGTTGAGGAGAGGTTGGAGGAGGGGGGGAGGTAGAGGCGAACTGGATACTTTTGGCAGAGTCTCGAAACCTGGAAAAAGCGATAAAACCTTCCAATCCTTTACTCTTCCCAGCTTTGCTGGGACACGTTTAGCATAGCTCGATGTACACCTACCTGGACCCTCAAACTAGCCATAAACATTGGTCATTCCCCCCGAAATGAGCGAATTCCCCCTGCTTTTGCGGGTAGTTTGAGGGTCCTGGTGCATTTTTCGGGGGAACGAAGATCCACACCAGGATTCCCAGAAGGCAGTTGTTTAGTTGGATGTTCCATTCCCCTCTTCGAGGCCCCCTTGAGCACAAACCGCCTGTTGCGGGCCCGCGGGGCCTGCTGGGCGGGGTTTCCCCTAAGAACAAGGCCGGCACCCCACGCCCCTTCAGAAAAAATAAAATAAAAAATCCTCTGCTATTGTTGGACAGCTCCGGGGAGGGGGGAGGATGGACGTGGGGGTGAAAAGGCGGTGCTTGGAGGGTGCGCCGATGTCTCCGTTGTTCATTAGGGAAAAGACACAAAAAAACAAAAGCTGCCCGCTTCGAGGGTATTTCCTCCAGCGGCTTGGGAAACCAGGCTCAGAACTCGTGGTACTAGTAACCCTCCATTTGCTTAAGCCGCCTGGAAAAAAAAAGGTCCAGTGATAGATGTCCTTTGAAAACCAGCGGGGAAAAATACGATAATTCTCGAGCAAATGGAAGTAACAGCATCTAATCACCTTTTCGGAATGTGTTCCGCGATCCGTTCTCGTGGGGGAATTGGACCATATGGCCAACCATTCGGAAAAACAAAAACAAAAAAGAAAAAAAACATTTGCTGAAAGCCACGGATGAATTACTTTGTAAAGGGAAGCGAACCGGAATACAACCAATTGAGCCGTGCCAAATACTCTTGTGTAAAAAGCGGTCCTATAAACTTGCTTTCGCGGACCCTTTCGCGATGCTTTCGCGACCCCATGTTTTGCTTTCGCGGGCTTTGGTTTCTTTGGAATTGCTTTCGCGACGCTTCCGCGGCGGACCGTCACACAGCATGCAGGCTTTCCCGGGTCTTTCGCGGCGGGACCTTCTTTGGTTACTTTCGCGATAAGCTTTCGCAAGCTTTCGCGGCCTGCGTTTTGGCTTTCGCGGGGATTCTATAGGACACCCCCCTTTACTACTTTGTATTGTCAGGGTTCTTGGCGCTGCTCAATTGGCTGTGTCTCAAAATAGAAGAACCCACATATGTCTCCATTTGGTTTTCGCTTTCAAGCAGCCCCATGGGTACCCTCAAAAAATACGACACCCCCATTTGGGTACCCCTCTTGCCCCTGGGGTTAAACGCCCCCTTCAAAAATTGTGTGCTTCTTGAATACAATTTCCGCGGGGCGCAGTGTCGGTTGTCAAAGCCGGAGGAGTGTGGGATGGACTCGTGGCCGTACAAACAGGCGATGGGGGCGTCGGTTTCGTCCACAAGGCCCATCGGCCAATAGTTCTTGTGCACCTCCTGGTTCGATCCTGGCAGGGAAGCCCTGCTTAAAAGAACATCGAACATTTCGGGATTTGCAAGCGGAGACTCTGATCCTAAAAATCATGAAATCACTGAGGCACGAACATGCCAAACACCTCTTCAAAATGAAAGCAAAAGAAAAACGCATCAAGTTCTTTCGCAAACGTTAAGATAACAACTGCGTCTCCATACCGTTGCCGACTCAAGGCCTTTCCGTCTCAAAAGGTGATGTCCTATTCTACACCCAAAGGGCAAAACAGGTAGTTTCTCAAGACTGGGGACCCAGGTAGCTGGTTTCCCTGTGGTTCCCGTAAAAAAACCGTCCAAAAAGGGGTCCCCTTGACCTTGGTTGACGTTAGGGGAGCTAAAATTGAAAAACAAATAGAAAAGCGAAGTGGTTGGATTTCCACCACTAAACCACAATAAGCAAAAATGGGAAATGTTTCCAACAACTAACCATGATTCAAAGGAAAGCCAACAGGGAAACCGCCCTTTTGGGGCTTTTCTCATTCTGAGACACCTTCAAAGACTTAAGGCTTCCACCTTTTCCCCAAGCCGTTGGCTTGGACTCCATGCTCTCGCGGACCCTGATCTTGCGGAGAATATGTTTCTTGTGTTTTGATTTCCCCGAACGGGAGGAACCAAGCAAAAACAACCGCCCATACAAGACACTCCCTTTCTCGTTTGCGAAATCTGCGAAGCCCTGCAGAAGAAGTGACTATTTTTTAGGTTTAATACCGAAAACCCATTAGTTGGCACAAAGTTAACGTCCTAACATCCAAGCAAAATGCACCAAGGCTTTGTCATTGGTAGTTTGAGGGTCCGGGAAGCCGTTTCCAAACATGACGCCCAACATGTCGGAGCAAGGTTGCAAGGTGGATACGAGAAACTCTACCACATGTTGAATGTATTCAACATGGCTTGCGTTGCTCTGTGTGGGGAGGGGGCAAGGCCAAAAGGGAAATCACCCCAAAATCATGAGCAATAACCCATGTCTATTCCCAGACAATTCATGTTGGACAATTATACCCACATTTCCCATGAAAATGGGTCAACTGTTGGTGTGTATATAAATATATAAATAAATAAATAAATAAATAAATAAATAAATACATAAGTACATAAATACATAAATACATAAATACACTAGTATATATATATATATGTATATATTACCAACATGGATTGTTTGGGATTGGTGGTTTCAACTGGCAGCTCGAAGATCTTTTGAGCCCTGCTCTTCGCATCTTCCCCTGCCTGGGTACTGAGGATGTTCCGGTAGTGGGAGCATAGCCAACGACTGATACGCTGAGTTGCCGTAGTAGTTGGCCACCTGAACTTGCTATGTATATATATATATATATATTGTGTATACATATATACATATATGTCTACCTGGACCCTCACACTACCCATAATAATGTGTTACTGCCACAAAATGTTTGGGTGATCTCCCTGTTTTATGGGTAGTTTGAAGACACCGGTACATGTGTATATATATATATATATACATATACATTTACATATATATATATATGCATACTAATGTGTATACATATATTTATATATTCTCTTTCCACGAAAAGCATTTCTTGGAGTCGAATCAGTGGTTTTGGTGGTGAGACAGGGTGGTTTCCCATTTACCCTCTGCATTCCAACCAGGGGTTCAAGCTCCACAACCAAACCAATCCAGGCGTTCCCTAATCAGAGCAAAAAGCGAAGGAATTTTGGACGTTCGATTCGCACAGCTAGTCATTCAGTGGTTGGCCAACTGGGGTAGAACCCCCAGTTGACCCTTGCCACTTCGGACTTAGGGGGAGTGGGGTTTGACCATTGCTAACTTGGCGAATTGAAGGAACAAACCCTACGAGCAATGGCAAGCGGGGTTTCCACGGGCTTCCCAATTGCAACCAGTGACCCTGGCAGACATTTTGGGAGGAAGAAGGCTTCTGCAGATATTTCTTTTGAGGGGCGGCTTCACCTCAAAGTGAGTGTTCAAGCTACCTAGTACATAGGTCCTAAGCATGGTTGTAAAGGGACGATCAGCCCGGGTACCGACAGCTATAACCTACCCCGGCTAGCCCAGCTATAACCTTGGTTGTAACCTACTTACTAAGTTGGTTGAACATCCAGCACTGGGGAACCAAACCGGAATTCAAAAACAAGTACCACATTTGCTACCCGCAGATTTCTTTCCCAGCCCCAGTCTCGATCAAGCCACGTAGATGAACTCATTCAAAGTGTCCACTGCCAGTCCGCTGATGAAGGCTGCGCCCTTGTCGGTTCGCGGGGGGAACCTGAAGGAAAGGCGCCGAAACACGGATAGGAGGTACCTAAGGATTTTCCCTGCCACATGGATTCCCTGGCGTGCCAATTTTGCAGTTGGAACTGGAAGCACTGGAAAAAAAAGGTACCTGGCCATCAAACTAAAAACAAGAAATCACCCATAGTTTTGGGGCACTAACCCATCTTTATGGGTAGTTTGAGGGTCCAAGTACCCACAAGTGCACGCTTCAAAGAAGTATACGAACCCCTGATCTTGCAAGAGCCCCCGGTCAAAGCAAGCTTGCCCACGCTCCTGACCCCTCTCACAGGTTCCTTTCGGATGCTACAAGTACTTGGTTGCTGCCCTGTGCAAGCTATCGGAGCCCTTTTTTTAGACGGAACAACAGATCTGTGAGAAGCTTAGATTTTTGCCCTCAAATAAGTGGCTGTGGCTCAAACAAGCGGTACCAAATTGGCACCCTGGTAAATAGAACCAAAGACTAAAACCCGCGGTTCACCCGAGCTCTTCAATTTTGAGCCATACCCAAATGGACATTCTCACTTCCGATCGACTGGCCCCATAAAAAGCCAATTTGTTTACGACAAAAGTTGTCCAAACCCAAAAGGCTTGAAGTCCGTTTGCTTCCGGTGACAGGGATGGGAATGATGTGAGGCGTTGGGGATGGTCTGACGCCTTGCAAAGCCCTACATGTCCAACAAATAGGCCGTTTCCCAAAATCAACAAGTCAGGCAAATTGTACGAAAAGGTATGCCAAGTAGGCTTGTTGGATGCTGCTTGAAGAACACTAATGCAAGGGTTTGCCGAGAAACGGACCCCTCAATTGGATGGTCTTGATAGGAAGCCAATACTTCAAGCTGCCAGCCGCTCCATTCATGGCATGTCGTATGGCGAGCGGATCACGCGTGCGGCATCTGCAAAATTGAGCGAAGTCCAAGACCAAAACCTTCAACACCCTAAGGACCGCATCAGGAGCACGTTCCACCCCGGATCAATTGCCTTGAAAATTGGAAAAGAGCATCTTGTATCAAATTGAAAGTCGCCGATGCCTCAAGCAAAACACCTGGACCCTCAAACTACCCTTACGAAATGGACATCATCCCATAATGTTGGGGCAATAACCAATGTTTATGGGTAGTTTGAGGAGGTACTTGCAGCTCATGCGCTTCTATATCCCTCAACGGCTTGCCTTTTGTCTGGGGTCCCTCGCTACCGTATCTGTTAGGCCTGACCGAGGTGGACCCTGGAATGACCCGAATATGAGCGCGTCTTTAGAGTTGGTACCCTTTGTTGGCTTTAAAGGAAAACGAAAAGGAAGACCGTTTGCCATTTTGGGGGGTGTGAATCCTAAAAAGACCCACCTATATTTCTCTCGTGAAAGATATCGCGAGTGCTGGCCAATTGATATTCGCCCAGCGATATTGCTATGTGTCAAAATAGGGGATCCCTCAAAAGGCGTGATTTCTCTTTGGCTTCCCTTCAAACCAACCCCAAACCAGGTTACTCTCAAACACACATAGAATCCTTTCAGATCATTGCAAAAAGTTCCTGCCGTTGAGATTCCAACGGGGCAACGTTGTCTTGCTGCTGCGATGGGCAGGGAAAGAGAAAATGACCCTTATAAACCATCCAACTGGTGGTTTCCTTGAAGGGAATACCTGGGTTCATTCCCACATTCCCTACATTTCCCTACAGAGGCAGGTGGCTTCTGACTGACCCCATCAGCATCACCCCATTGGAGGGGCCGAGGCGCTCATAGAAAACCCCCGAGTAGACCACCTCGTCATTGCCAACGCCTGGCTTCAAAACCCCATCGCAAGGATGGCATGGTGTCCACACCTTTGTTTGGCCAAACATCGCTGGCTGCATCTTGTTGCCTTGCCATTTGCAGTTGGGCACTTGTTCCAAAGTACATTGGAGAGAGAGAGAGATGGTGACGGAGAGAGAGAGAGAGAGAGAGAGAGAGAGCTTGTCTTGCACCAGCTCAGTTCTGTGGTATGGAAACTTGCCCGCAGCTTCTGTAAGAGCTGGCGTTCAAAGGGTTCCACGCTGTCCCAAACATGTCTCTCTGAACCCCGCGGGGAAACACGGTACATTGGTCAGAAATTGGAACACTGATACACCTGGATGAAAGTAGATGGCACAAGTTTCCACTTGTGTCGGGAAGCAAAGGGATGCGGAGTGACCAAAATAGGCTACCTGGGCCCTTAAACCACCCATAAGACAGGGGAAATCACCCCATATTCTGGAGCCATAACCAATGTTTATGGGTAGGTTGAGGGTCCGGATGGAGTTGTGCCACTCGAAGCATCAGCAAGGACCTTCCAAAGGGTCTGGTCGTCTGGAAGGTTTCTAGGGATCTACTTTCACCCTACCAATGACCCCCACAAGGGCAGCGGTGTTTTGGTTGGGTTTCCTTTTGCACAAAACAAAAAAACACGTGTACCAAGTCCGAAAAAACGACGTGCCACCCATCTTGCACTTCAGTGGCAGTGACTTTGTTTTTGTGTGCCTCTTGGTTTCCCTTTGAAAGTCACACACACAAAACATCGGGGTATACCCTCAAGCTACCCGACTACACGTGGGCTAGTCCCCAACATTTTGGGCGAATTCCCGTTTTTATGGGTAGCTTGAGGGTCAAGATACCAACTCCCAAAAGCAACCACAACCATCAAAATGGGTGATTGCCCCAATTTAATGGGGTGATGTCCCTTTCTGTATGCGTCAAGATACCTGCTTCAGCCCCCAAACGACCGGTCTGAAAACCCCTCGCGCGCCTTGGGAGCCGGCGGTGCGGCTGAAGCGGGAGATGGACTCCTTTGTAGTGCTGGAGCGGAAAGCCTCGGGCTCGTTCGACCAACTTAAACAGGGATTTCGCCCCAACTTGTTGGGGCAAGAACGATTTTTATGAGTAACCTACCAAAGAAAAGGGACATCAACCCAATTTGTTGGGACAACAACTGACTTTTAGGGACATCACGCCAATTTGTTGGGACAACAACTGACTTTTATGAGAAACCTACCCATAAAAAGGGACATCACCCCAATTTGCTGGGACAAGAACCGATTCTTTAATGAGGAATTAACCAAGGCCATGAATTCGGTAACTGGAGTGATCGGCCCCCTTACAACCATGGTTGCAACCTACTTACTAAGTAGCTTGAACCCCCAAGTTGGGTGTTCGTTGACAAGTTCGTGCCTCGACCCTGCTACACAAAAATTGGGCAATTCCAATATGGGGAATTGGGGGACTGAATTGGGCCATTTTCGGATGTGCATTTTAGAACATTTTGCATAGGCCTCAATTCCTCGGCAACTCGCTCATTTTCTCTGCCCTCGATCGAGGCGCGGGTTCCGATATCAGGAAATGTTCGGACCTGGCAACTGTCTTACATGTGGTTTGTCTTTGTTTTTGTTGGGTGGAGTCCATTTGGTTGACTTTACCAACCCAAAAAGGGTACACCAAAGAGAAGACCAACCCCCAACCCCTTCATGAATCTGAACATTGGGCTTACCAATCAACCCCCTGAGATGGGTAGAGCCTCCGAATGCAAACCGCGAGCGAATCACCTTGTGCTTAGAAAATACCCAGGTCCCACCCGCTTCTTGGTAATTTTGGACATGGAAAAAGGCGGTGCTTGGGGGGGGGGGGGGGTGGGGGGTTCTAGATAATGAACCAATTAGGAGGGATGACTCCCCGCAGGCCCTTTGCCACACGGATCGGTCAGCTCCAACTGGGGAACCTATTTCTGGATGCTTTGAAAGGGAAATCAAACGGCAACTCCGCTTGCTTAAGTCCCCTGGGAGAACAAAGAAACAATATGCCCAGTTCTTGATAAATTCCGTTTTAGACCAACAAGGGGGAAATACAACATATGCTTAAGCAAATGCAAGGCAACCACCTGGGTGTTTCTAAACATGATGGACCAATTCTTGGTATGTAATACGGGAACCAGACAGAAACCAAGAATTCTACCAATACCCTTTCAGAAACACCCGCATGGAGAGATCCATTTGATGCAATTCTTGAGCACAGGCGGCCTTGGAACATGGAATGAAACCAATCCAAACCAGTGGAACCCATCTATTTCTAAACCAACTGGCCAACAACTCAGTTGTTCAGTGACCCTGGGAAAAAAAGGGACCCTTTTTTGGGCTTGGACCATTTTAGTGGGGCAGCCACCAAAACAAAAGGGGAAAAAGGGAGCCACTGAACAACTGAGAAAAAGACGGATCTATGCTCTTGAGACGCACATTTTTTTCACCCAAGACATTCGGCCCAAAGATTCTCTGCCGCGATGCATAGTAGACCTGGTCCCGCTTCTGGTCGTAGGTCATAGCCTGCGACTGGAAACAGCCGCCTTTGGATCTCCAAAGAGGCCCATGGGTTCCAGAGATATTTGCCAACACCCCGCCATGCAAACATGGCAAAAAGCAAGACAACAAGGCCACACATGCCAAGAACAGTGAAGCTATATTTCCCCTTGAAACATCACCCAAAAAAATGGGAAGCTTTCTCGAAAAGAGCCCAAAAGAGTGATGCTTGAAACCGAGGGAAACGTACGGGCCGATGTGTCGACCGTCAGGCCCGACTTGGGAACCCCGGTGCTTCTTTCGGCCAGCCGAGCGAGCGGTATGGAGGCGGGGAGCGGCAAAAGACACGTAGGGGAGTATGTCAAACAAAAAGCAAATTGGGGTGTTAAAATTCTCAACGGGTGTTTGAGGGCACCCTTTTCAGCTCATACCCGTTTCCAAAGACCCACCAAACCCCCAAACTGAGTCTCAACCCCCCCAAAACCCCACCTGAGCCCAAAACCACCCACCCCGCATTCCGCGCACGCCACACTCCAAACCCCAACCCAACCTCAAAGCCCAACCCCTCCCTCCCAACCCCCCCTTGCCCCAGAGCCCGCCTTGAGCACGCACGAGCCGGTGGCGCTGACGCCACATCCGGGCTCCATGTACCGCGTCCAACAGCCCTGAGAACGGGTGCTGCCAAACCATGGCCCTAAGGGAACTCCAATTGCAAATCAGATCTTCTTTGCCTCTGTTCCATACGCCAACCTCACCCCGATGTAAGTGCCATTGGCTGCCTGCGAGCTTTTTCTACAGCCAACCCTGGTTCGATGGGCTTGCATGTTCAGGGAACCATCACAATGGTGGGGAAGCCCCCATGATTTGTCCCTTACCATCTATAAATTTGCGAACCTCAAACAGCATCTCACTTCTGATCCTGGCCAGCAGCAAAGAAACCTTGCCTTTACCACGAAAAATGGCCCAAACATACCCAGACCCAAGAAGGCAAGGGGGGTAGGTTCCAGCGGGGGGTAGTTGAGAGCTCTAGGGTTCCCTAGATTTCCTTAGGGCTGCTTAAAGTGAGCCATACGCTACCCTTAAAAGAGACCCCCCGGGATGGGCATTCGTTTGAAATAGGGACCTGAAACGCTGGACATGAAAAATCGGTGCGGATTCATGTACTTTTGAGGTGGTGTTTCAGCCAAAAAGGTTCATGGTTTTACATTGACTTTGGGTTCTACCATCATGTTCATAAAAGGGTTAAGTATAGGGCCTGACTATAAACCAAGTATGAAGCCAGGTTGTGGAACAATCCGTTAAAATGGCCAATGGGCGATGTTCATATGGGTGACGGGTGTGTCTTGTTCGGGCCCCTTTCTTGTGTGTGTGTGTGTTCTCAAGGAATACCCACCTACATCAGGGGTCACGAAGGGATGTCCCCAAAACAAAAGTTGCAGTTTTCCGGCGGCTTCCAAGAAACTTGCCACTTTGCTCCAAACACGTGTCTTTTTGAGGAAAACCCTGAAGCAACTTCTGGCAGTTTCCGGTTTCTACCACACATCTACGGGTCTCGCCTGGCGTGTTGGATTTCCCCGACTGGTTTTTTTTGACCCCTCCCCCCGAAAAAAGTGGGCAAACTAGTTGGCACCTAGCTGGGGGACCTAGCCTCGTTTTTTTGTTTAGGGGGCCGAGTAATTAGCCCACGGCAACCCAAAAAAAAAAAACGCGCCGTCGCCCGCGCGGGCGCACCGTTCCGAGCCTTCCAGCCCGGGCGCGAGGCCGCCTCCAGCTGAGACCAGGCCTCCGCCTGGCGGGTCTGGGGGTCTGGGCTCACGGGAGCGGGACGTGGCCACCCAGAGCCCAGCTTTTTGGGGGTAGTTTGAGGGGTTTGTTGGTTTTTGGGCCTGAAAATAATCTTGGGCGCCAACCGTTTTGGCAGCTTGAGGGTCCTGGTTTTGCTCCCCAACAGCTGAAAGCTTTGGGGTCTCAGCCCAGATAGGCTCCCGGGGAGGTCCGGGGCGGCCCTGAGGTAAGGTTCCACCAGGGTTCCTGGGCCTGGAGAATCCGTGCGAAGACGGCGATGGTTTCACTGATGTGTGTATATATATATACATGTATGGTCACTCCCCCCCATGATCCACACCCCCATGTTGCAAACTAGAAAGCATACCAAAAATGCAGGAAAAAACACTATATATATCCACACACGTACTTGCGTCACGCACAAACTGTGAGACGTCCATGTAACTCAAGCTTGCAAGTGCAAGCCTCCTATCTAACACACGATAAAATCAACAGGCATCATCAAGGACTGAGAAGTACAGGGGTAATCTTTGGGGTCCATGACTGAATATGGATCAAAAATAAGGTCGATCCGCTGAGAAACCCAACTGAGTCTTTGGGAAGTGTCAGTGCTTTGGTTTAGTTTGCCCTCTAAGAGCTGTTTCCGAGGCTGTTTCCGAGGAAAAAAAACCAAAGGAACCAAAGCTGGGCTGCCCGATTTCCGATCCCCCGCTACCAGCGAACAATTTTTGGTGGGTTGAATGGAAACGACCACTAAAATCACGAAAAGGATCTAAAACGCTAAGGAGCCGGATGGCCTTCGGGAGCCAAGAAACGGGAAACCCAAGGAAAGCCTTTTGGACGCCTGGGACCGGCAGCTGGCCACCGTGGCATCCTGGGAGAGGTCCTCAGAGAAAGAAGGCGCGAGCGAGAGTGGAGCGAGCAGAGTTGAGGGAAAACTCATTTTATTTTTTTTATTTTTTACTACCCCAATAACACGATCAACCCCACATTCACAGGTGAATTCTAAGTGGGGTACATCAACCAACAATCTGTTACCAACTTACTAGCTAGGCTAGGTCCTCCGGTAGAGAGGTCAGAATAAGGGTGCCCGATTTGTGTTCCGTAGTAGTGGGGTTGCCACTACCCCTAAAGGGTTCAACCCCCGCTAAGAATGACAACCCTTAGGAAAACAAGGGTGGTTGTGTGATTCTCCACGGTTTTGAATTGTGGCTTGAACCCCGGGGTTACGCGGGTTTTAGTCTTTGTTGCCATTTACCAGGGTTCCGTTTTGGGTACCCATTCTTGACCCACAGCCATTTGCTCGTGGAGACGTCTTCTTGCAGGGAGTTGAGGTTCTCAGGTCTGGGTTTTGGATGGAACAGAGGCTAAGATCTGATTTACATCGGAGCTCCGTGGGCCCGAAACCTGGTTGGCCATTTTAACCGGTGGCCCGGCTTCTGCCTGGTTTTGCGGCCTATAAATCCATGATCCGGGGCATTTTCCGGGAGAGGGGTTTTGGAGGTATGCTATACCAAGAGAAGCTTGACAGGCTAGAGCCTCCATGCCTCCAAAGCCCATACCTAAAACTACACTTGAACACGTCGAAGGTCTCACCATTTCTTGGGTTCCATACATAGACTCGAATGCTTGGTTGGAATCCGCAGCCAGTGCCAAGAGAGGCTCAGCGGGAGAAAAAGGGCCGAAAAGCTGGAAGCAAAGACAAACATCGGATGAGACCTAGAGGTAATGATCCTGAAGGCCTACATCCTGAAGGCCTACATCCTGAAGGCCTACATCCTGAAGGGCTACATCCTGAATGGGCTACATCCTGAAGGGCTACATACTGGAAGCTGGGTTCTTGCTTCTTATGACATTATTCAACCTTCCGCGAACCCTTCCGCCCAGTGTCCGGGGCGTGAAACGCTGCTTCCGCCGAAAGGTTTTCCTTCAATTGCTTCCTCTCGCTTCCGCAGGGCATGGTTTGGCTACTTTTGCTTCCGCGGCCACAAGGCTGTTCATGGTGGTCCTCTGTTGCCACTCATGTGAGTCATAATCAAATCTCGATATTGAAATGGTCTACCCAGATTGTCCCTTACTAACCTTCATCTACCCGGGTTTTGATTGTGGCTCGTGTTGTTCTGACCCAAAAGGCTGCCACGCGGCGAACCCTTCCGCAAGCCTTCCGGAGGCTTGCTTCCCTGCCTTTCACGCTTCCTTGTCCAAGTTGGCGAGTCGGCGAAGTGGCTAAATTTGGGGGCGTGTGCTTCGTTCATTTTTGTGGGGCGCAGGGTCAACGTCAACTCTTGGGAGTTCAGAGGCTTGACTGGGGCCAAGTCAACTAGCCAATTGGGGTATAACCTCCAATAACACGATCAGCCCCATTCACGGGGGAATTCTAAGTGGGTTACTGTACATAACCAAACAAACTGTGACCAACTGACGTTCACCTGGCAAATCGAACACCCAAGTAGGAACCCCCAAACATGCCACACCCCAACACACCTCCAACAATGATCTATTTTTCATCTTTCCCCAAGGACGTGTGTGTCTGTGTGTGTGTGTGTGTGCGCGCGCGCGCGTGTGTGTGTGTGTGTGTGTGTGTGTGTGTGTGTGTGTGTGTGTGTGTGTGTGTGTGTGTGTGTGTGTGTGTGTGTGTGTGTGTGTGTGTGTGTGTGTGTGCTGTGTGTGCTTGTGCTTGTGCTTGTGCTTGTGCTTGTGCTTGTGCTTGTGCTTGTGCTTGTGCTTGTGCTTGTGCTTGTGCTTGTGCTTGTGCTTGTGCTTGTGCTTGTGCTTGTGCTTGTGCTTGTGCTTGTGCTTGTGCTTGTGCTTGTGCTTGTGCTTGTGCTTGCTGCTTGTGCTTGTGCTTGTGCTTGCTTGTGCTTGTGCTTGTGCTTGTGCTTGTGCTTGTGCTTGTGCTTGTGCTTGTGCTTGTGCTTGTGCTTGTGCTTGTGCTTGTGCTTGTTGTTGTGCTTGTGCTTGTGCTTGTGCTTGTGCTTGTGCTTGTGCTTGTGCTTGTGCTTGTGCTTGTGTGTGCTTTGTGCTTGTGCGTGTGCGTGTGCTTGTGCGTGTGCGTGTGCGTGTGCGTGCTTGTGCGTGTGCGTGTGCGTGTGCGTGTGCGTGTGCGTGTGCGTGTGCGTGTGCGTGTGCTGTGCTGGTGTGTGCTTGTGCTTGTGCTTGTGCTTGTGCTTGTGCTTGTGCTTGTGCTTGTGCTTGTGCTTGTGCTTGTGCTTGTGCTTGTGCTTGTGCTTGTGCTTGTGCTTGTGCTTGTGCTTGTGCTTGTGCTTGTGCTTGTGCTTGTGCTTGTGCTTGTGCTTGTGCTTGTGCTTGTGCTTGTGCTTGTTGTGCTTGTGCTTGTGCTTGTGCTTGTGCTTGTGCTTGTGCTTGTGCTTGTGCTTGTGCTTGTGCTTGTGCTTGTGCTTGTGCTTGTGCTTGTGCTTGTGCTTGTGCTTGTGCTTGTGCTTGTGCTTGTGCTTGTGCTTGTTGTGCTTGTGCTTGTGCTTGTGCTTGTGCTTGTGCTTGTGCTTGTGCTTGTGCTTGTGCTTGTGCTTGTGTTTGTGTTTGTGTTTGTGTTTGTGTTTGTGTTTGTGTTTGTGTTTGTGTTTGTGTTTGTGTTTGTGTTTGTGTTTGTGTTTGTGTTTGTGTTTGTGTTTGTGTTTGTGTTTGTGTTTGTGTTTGTGTTTGTGTTTTTGTGTTTGTGTTTGTGTTTGTGTTTGTGTTTGTGTTTGTGTTTGTGTTTGTGTTTGTGTTTGTGTGTGTGTGTGTGTGGGTGTGTGTGTGTGTGTGTTTGTGTGTGTGTGTGTCTGTGTGTGTCTGTGTGTGTGTGTGTGGGAAGGGGGGTGTTTGGGGACCCCTTTGGGGACTCAGTCCCCTCGCGGCGTTCGTCCGGGCGGCCAGAGACTTGAGCACATCCACCTCGTGGCTCAGCAGCGTGCCATCGCAGGCCACCACCAGAGATGCCCTCGGCTTCTGATCGACGGACCCCGACCCTGCATGGCTCGTCTTCTGGGATTTTTGGACCCCCCTTTTTTTGGCGAGAATGGGTGGTTGAAAGCACCCTGGGGTTCCCTTGGGGTTGCATAGGGTTCCAAAGGGTTCCTTCCATGTTGCGTTTCAGATGTGGGTAAGATGTGGCTCGTCTTTCTATGGGACCCCCAAAAAGGAATCGAACCCCCCCAGTTGGTGTCCCTTTAAAACCACCAAGCACTCCCAAAAAAGACACACCCGTGCATTTTATTTTCCCGGTTGGTTGTAAATCACCGCTGGACATGGTGGTTTCCCTCTTGGTGTCTCTTTACAACCCACAAAAGCGGGGTACCAACTCCAACAAAAAAATATTCCCCGGTGCCAGTGGACCCCAGGCGTTTCGCCACAGTTGGAGACCCTTCGATCCATGGTCCTTTTGACTTTTAAAGGCTGGCGAGCCCTTCTTGGGGTACCTGCAAAATTCAGCGAAATGGCTGCTCAAAACACGGGAGCCAACATGGGACCTGGGTAAATGGAGCCAAAGGCTAAAACCCTGCGGTTCGCCCGAGCTCTTTCATTTTGAGCCACACCCAAATGGAGTGCGATGTATTCTTTCCTGTTGGCTTTACAGGGAGCCCCAAAACTAAGGGCGTCATTGTTGTGGAGTTGGAAGCTGACACACGGCGCCACGGGTTTCCTTTTGGCTGCCCTTTGAAACCACCCCAAGAAGGGATCCCACAAAAGACACCCCCCTTGTTTAGCACTGCGCTCCAAAGCCCAAAGTTTCCCAGAAAGGCCCCCGCCCAAATTGACCATGGACTGGAGACTTCGATTCAAAGTCTGTGCGCTCGGCTGTGCCCGAAGCCCCATATGCATAGACGAATTGGAGAAATCAGAGTGCTCAGTGGCCCCATTTCCCCGAGGAACGCAAGGGCCTACCTTAAACCAAAAGGAACACTTCCGAATCCCTCAGTCAGATTCCAGGTGAGTGAATGGGGCAACTGGGATCCACTAGGACCAACTTGGACCGAGAAAGCGGGTGACCTCCTCATGCTGGAGGCCCCTGGAAAAAGCATAAACTTACCTTCCAGTAGTGATAGATTCCCTTTAAAACCAGCAGGGGAACATACCACGGTTACACCTAGGCCCTCAAACTACTCATAACAAAATGCATCCCATTCTTACGGGTGATTTGCTTCAGGTATATATATATATAGAGATATGTAATGATTACATACACATATACGTATACACATATTAGATACTTCTTCAGCCAAAAGCCACCCGACTTCGCATGGGCTATGTTTCTTCAGCCCCCAACTTCGTCCCGTGACTTCGGCCCGAGGCGTCGTTTTTCGGTCGGTCCGAGGCGCCAGTCCCCGTTGGCGTAGTGCCCGGCCACCTCCCCCACGTCGCAGGGCTCGAAGGGCGGCTGAGAGCTGTCCCAGCCCCGCACGTCCAGGTACCTCGGAGCCCCAAGTCGCGGGAGGACAAACATGCCGGTGGGGTGGTTGGTGGGCTATACATATATTTATATTATATATATATATATGTACAAAAGTGTATAGATCTCGAGATTTAAGCTATGATTCATACGGGAAATGGTTTGCTTTTGCTTGTTTGGTTGGTTTTTCTTCGGGGCTCACCCGTACTGTGGATGATTGCGAAATCCAGACATTGCACCACCGAAATCAGAAACCCTGGTTTCTGATTCGATTCCCGGAAATACCAACAAAGTGGGCAGCGGGGGGGAGGGAGGGGGAGGGGAGGGAGGGGGAGGGGCCCAAATTAATAGGGGAGGGGAGCCTTGATAGCCCTTTTTGGCCCTATTAAGGGCTTTTTTTGGGCTCCCCCCAGCCCGCATGAGTCCGTGGCAAAATCAAAGATGACTTTTATGTGTATGACCAACCAACCAACCAACCGACCAACCAACCAACCGACCAACCAACCAACTAACCAACTAAATTCCGGGTAATTATACCCGAGGTCACAAACCCCGAGAGGTGAGGTCGCTAAACAAATGCCCCAGAAACACGGGCGTGCACTGGTGGGTCATGTCCTTTCAAACGGCCGAGACAACCAACATGCGTGTGTCATTTTTGTTGTTGAGGGGACCCCCCCGAAAGGTGGTTTTGCTTTCTGTTTGCATTGAAAACCGCAAAAGAAGGGTACCCTCAAAAAAAACACCCACATGGGTTTGCCTCTAGATGGGGGACCCCTGCGCAATGCTCCCTGAGCTCCTTGTTTTCACAACCCAACAAACGGACTGCAAGAAATGGACCCAATCTGGCTTTTGGCGATATGTTTTTCCAAACAAGAGGTTTGCCCCTGAAAGTTCATAGGTTGTCCTATAGCAATATGCTTCATGGGTTTACATAGCCTTTGCCCTTCCCATGAAATCAGGAAGTAGACCCAGTAAAACACCCATGGGACCTTTGTGGGCTGACACCGCTTCACGGATGCTTGGAGCTTCCATGGCCTATGAGGAGATTACAAGTGATCCTGGTTCATGTGGGTGTTTTTGTTATCTTCTTTTGTTTCCGGGGGGAAGCCCTTCTTGTTGGTTTTAAAGGGACACAACACTTCTCTCTCTCTCTCTCTCTTTTTTGGGGGGGTCCCTGAAAAAAGACAAGCCCATGTCCGCAAACAAGAGCCCTCCAATGCAAAAAGGCGTCCTTGCAAACAAGAAGTACTTCAAAGGCACCACAAGGTGCGATTTGGCCAGACTTGGATACTGGCAATCAAAAACCTGGGCCCTCAGATCCCCTGCAAAAAGTGACTCACTTTTTGTGGGTTACATGGACATCCAACCACTTTCAGAATAAAAAGCTAAAAGGCTAAGTTGAACCGGATGGCTGGCTTCGCCACCAAGAAACTGATTCGATGCGTTCTTCCAAGCAGTTTCATTCAAGATTGCCATTGCCAACTCGGTTCTTCCTGGTATGTAAATGCTATTGAGGTGTTGTGGATGCTTCTCAATATAGGCTGTGGATTCTTCTCAACATAGGCTACCTGCACCCCCAAATTACCGATTGAAAAAAACAAAACACGTTTGAGGATCCAGGTAGCCAAAATGGAACCCTTAAATGGAAACATGGACTAAAACCAGCTGTCTGGTGGTTTAACGTTGACCCTTACCAAATTCGCTAGACAAAGGAAAGAACCGTCAGGTGTGACCAGTCTTGAGGTCCCAAAAATACCTCTGTCAGCATTTGGCTCTACATTCGGGATTTGGGGCTGAGCTATCATGGGTTTTGCCCTCTGACCATCCCAGTTGGTTGGCCATGGGTGTTTTTAGTAGCTCTTGTCGGAGTGATTCGAACCGCTGTCTGGTCAACTGTCAATGTCAGTCTCTGATTCTGGGATGGATTTCAATTGGGATGACCCTTGGGTGGACATTATCTACAGCGAAATGTCTGTCCACCAACCATTTGTTAAGGATGTCCCCCATCAGGATGTCATTGGCTCTCTCAAAAACCAGGGAGCCCTCGCCAACCAAACAACTCCATGTGTTGCTGGATAGTGTTCCAGGCAACCAACGAGACAAACCCCTTCGTTTGGCGTTTCGGTCGTCCAGGTCTACGCGCTTTGCCCCCGCCAAGGCGAAGCCCGGAAAACCGGTCGACCCAGGCCGAAGGCGCATCAGGGAGATGTAGCCCGTGCTGGGCTGCGGCGTGAGCCAGTACACGATCTCCGCCTCCTGGTCGATGGCCAGCTTCCTGTTCAGGATCCGTCAGCGAGTCTTGGGTATTTTGTGGGATCTGTTTTGGGTTCCAAGCCGGGTTGCTGGATTCGTGAAAGTTCCAAGGGTTCATCAACCGCCTTCACACTGTAGTGGAACCAATTGGGTTCGTGCCGATATTCAGCGTCCCCTCCCATGGGCACATGAGGATAGATCAGGAATTCTACTTGGATGCCCGTCCAAGTAAGTCAGTGGCCAGCCAATTGGGGGAACCCCCCCCAAATTACAAGCTTAACCCTGCGGAGGGTTGGACTTGTTTTGTGGGTTGTAGCCTAGGTAACCATTAAAACTTCCTAACTCGGCTGAATCGAAGACCCAGGTAGGGTACCTGCCGAAATAAACAGCCGGCGGAGCCCAAGAGGCGCAAGCTTCCAAAAGGAGTTTAGGGCAACGTCCTGTCCTGGAGCTCTTTTCTGTGAGGGCAGCGGAAGCCACTTTTATCATTTCCACCAAAGGCATGTTAAGTCCATGTAATTCCCCCGCGTGGTGAGAAAACCATGGCTACCAGGCATTTACGTAAAATAAAGCCATGAAACCGGGGCACTTGGACTTCATGCAGCAATGTGCAGGGGAGTACCCACCCCCCTCCCAGACATGTGCCGGGGCGAGCGGCATGTTCTCCGGGACCGTGTCGTCGGCGCCGGGAAAGAGATGGTTCACTTGGTGGTAAAGCACCTCCAAAGCAGGTCTATGCCTCCGCCATGTGGTCCTTGAGTGAGTATCCCTGACATGCTACGAGTCCATATCCTTTGTCTACCCCTTGCTCATTTGCAAGCAATCTATATATAGATATATATTATATAAATTATATATATATATATGTATGATAGGAATTTGACATATAATATGCATAGGAGCAAGTGTCAGGTGCGACAGGGCAAAAATGAGCCCGCTGTTGTTGACGTCTTTCCAGGGATTCCTAAGGGCGGAGTGGGCTTTGCGCGCAAAATCCTAACCCCAACCCGCTTCACCGTTTTGCGGAACGCCCTCTTGCTTGACGAGGTTTCTCCGCTGATTCATTGTCCCAACAGGGCGGCCCTGACCCACTCAGGCCAGACCCTCGAGAGCACGGGCCGCGCCTCCGTGGCGCTTGCAATGATTGCCTCAGACGGGGAAAACAAAATCGGCGAACGCCATGGCCTGTGATGCTGTGGGCTGTCGGACTTCCAGAGACTTCTCTTCCTTTCTTTCCGTCGGGAGAAATTCGGGGCTCCTGGCTTACGAAAAAACTGGTTGGTGCTCAGACCCAGCGTGGTGGGAATGAACCGTTGCGAAATTCAGTTGCAGGAAACTACAATTGTGAAAAGGGGTCGTTCCAATTCTCATTCCCTGCCTATCGCACCGGCAAGCAAAATGGCAACCAGGCACCCAGAAAGGTCACCGTCAATTCCCCCGGTTCCCGAAAAACCTGCCCTGTGACATCGGGAAAAGGAAGCAACTACCCGAGACCAGAGCAAGCAGAAAGCCTATAACCTAGCGAACAAGTATCCATTCAGGGCTCTTTTACAGAAAGTTGTGGGTTGCTTGCATCTCGCTTGACGTTTTGCCAGATCTCACTCCAAAAGTGCGACGTGGCTTGAATTCAAAGGGAACACTCACCCTGAGAACCGAAGAAATGCTAGGGTGCCCAGCAGGCGTTGTGCCCACTCCGCCCCCCGCACCTACTTGAAAACGCTCCCCCAAGGCACAAGAGAAACAGAAGCACCCGGCACCGCACTTTGGCGCAGATTGGAAGTCAGGCAAACTGAACAGTTGATTGTTAAAAAAAAACACCTGCAGAACACAAGCACACACAAATTGATTTAAACTGCAAAATCATAAGACTTTAAGAACACAGTGCAACCAGCACCGAAAGGCTAAAAAAGATTCTCATGAACAAACCAACAACCCCAACAAACAGAACCGGTTCCCTAGACTTCCCTCAACCCCCCAAATCTCAGCGCACGGCGTAGCGGTCATCCAGAACCTGGCTAGATCCGAAGGTCTGCCTTGGGCCAGGTGCCCTTTGATCAATCTGATCGGATTTCTTGGATGCATCATGTTGACTCCGAATTAACTTCAACCCATCCTATCAATAGGGGGGTGTTGGACCTTAAGGGGCATTTATTAATCCTATGTCAGCATCGTCCCAAACACTTCATGAAGTGATTGTCTCCCGGAATATTCAATGACAACCACAACCAAGGCGCAATGACGCGGGCGATTCAGCGCAGCGCAGCTACGATAGTATCACAACTTCTAGCTGCTTCGCCGATTTGACCAACGACCATGTGCCGGTCTAAACAACCAGGCACATATGATTGTTTCACCATGACGAGATCCTCCCGCGTACCAGGCATGGGTCATAGAGTCATAGCTATGATTTTGTGGGGACCACCTCCAAAGTGGTTGGGTGGACATGAATGCCCCACATAAATGATGTCACCAAAGGAGCCTGCAAAAAAAACTCGCTTGCAATGGACACGGGGCTCTCAAACAATACTCGATCACTCCTTTGGACTGCGCTTCCCTGGAGGCGGGAAGCCGCCTATCCTGAAGGACACAGGCGCCCAAGATGAGTTCTAGACCGTCCCTGGTACTGTGGATGGTTTCCATTTCGCAAAACCTGAGAAAGTGAATTTACAGGGGAATCGAATCCTTCCAGGGTTTCTTGGGTGGCGAAATGGATTTCGTCCATCCTCAGTATGTCCCTGTAAGCAATCAAAATCGGCAACTTCAAGAAGTGGCTGCCAAAACGGGTGATCACCTTTTGGGGCACATGGACCAAACCGGGGAAACCAAAAGGTCACCTGGTCGATTCGCTTTGGGTAAGTAAGAAAAACCACACCCCCAAATAAATGACCTCCAGTTAAACTCCTCCCATGTCCAAAGGCACCACCAAACGTGCCAAATGGCGGGGAAAAACGACCTCCCCTGGTTCTAGGGGACCTTTCATGTCCATTCTTTCCAGGGATTTCTAGAAAACCTCCGGAAACCCAGGGAACATAGCTGGTTCTTCCATCTCGCACCCAAAATCAAATCACTCGAGACGCGGGGCCCCCGTTGGCTTCCTTTTGGAGAAATGGATCCAACCTGGTGGATGATTAGAACCAAACTGAAACCACGGCCAACCTAAAAAAACAAGAAGCAAAAACAAAAACAAACCACCGGACAAACCAAAATATAACAAACACAAAGCAAGCCCCAAACCAACCCAGCAAACAAAAAACAACAAACTAAACCAAACCCCAACATACGATTCCAACCAAACCAACCTACAAAAACATGGACACCCTCTCCTCCCCTTCAAAAAAAACAAACAAACCCCAAACAAATGAATTCACCCAAACCAACCGGGAAAAAAGAAGAATAAAAAATAACAAATGGACACCCACCCCACTCCCCTCCTGGCGCCTGGGTGGGCCCGGAGTGGGGGCAGCTGGTGGTGGAGCAGTCGACGGGGTCCGGCACCTTGGCCGCAGCCTCCAGGGCGCTCAGCGGCACCTCGAGGCCGAGAGGCGGCATCGGGATCCCAGCGATCCGAGCGGATCGGATGGGGCGAGGGGCGCCAGGGGACGCGGACCCCGCGTAGACCTACCCTTAAAGAAAAAGAGGGGGACGCCCTGAAAATCTGGGGCTGCGTTCAACAAATTGGGGTTCACCGACCATAGTTTTGGGCTGCAAAACCCACTTGTTTTGGTTTGAGGGTGCAGGTGTGTCTTTCTGGGAGCTACCCCTTGTGGGCTTTAACGGGCAAGCAAAAGAACAACCAACATTTTGGGGGTCCCCCAAACATGACACACCCATATGTGTTTTGGTACAGTGATTTTTAAACAAGAAGGGTGCTGGAACTGTTTGTATGTTTGTGGCGGGGGCTTGACGTTGTACTCCTCGTATTGCGCATGGGTGTGGGAAACAAGACAGTCTGCAAGACCAAAGTGAGCCATCTCTACGACTACTTTGCCACGTTGACGGGAGGCCCCTTGGTATTGCAGAAAGTGGCAGCCCCCCCCCCTTCGACCCATTTCCCACAAATATGTTAAGACTATCGCACCGAACAAACCACCTAAATCTGCACTGCAAACCCCAGAACAGGTGGACATGGTTCCCACTAATCTAAAATTACATTCGTGATCCCAATCGGATTGATAATTTGGAGGCTCCAAACAGTCCAACGGGTCCAAAGGGTCACTGGATTCTTAAGGTTCACTTGGCAGAGATATTGTCAAACATAGGAGCCCCAAAACAATGGTGACATTCCCTTCGATTTCCCTAACCAACCTGAAAAGGGCTCAAAAAATCACACTCCCACGTGATATTCCGCACAAAACTACAGACGTTTTCCAAGAGGACAGCGTTGGCAAAATTTGGTGGTCTTGACCCTGGCATTCTGGAAAATGTCCCGTGTCCTCCCCAAACTAACAATAGAGCACCAACAAACAATGCCAGTTGCTCTGACCCTTTTAGAGGAACACGTTTTTCCTTGAAACCCGCAGTCAAGTAGTAGCTTTGAACGCGGAATCGCCCCCTTTTTCCTTCTCGAGGCCGAGCTGGGCCCAGCCCCGATATTTCCCGTGGTAAAGAAACCCCAGCTTCACCTGAGACAAATCACCGGCAAAGACTCCCACAGGTTGCTTCCAGACCAGTCCCCGTCTATGGTTCATGATATCCTGTTGGCATCAGCTTCAGTTGCTGGCCGCTTTGATGCGTTTCCTTTTGAGGGTGATGCTTGAACGGCACGTATTAGCTAACCCAGCTTTGGCTGGTGTGTTGAGGGGGCTACATTCGCATACTTTCAAAGGATACTGCCTCGCTATCCAACAAGTAAACAAGTAGATCAAGGCGGTTAAGCGCTGAAATTTGGCTACGTCTGCGACCAAAATGATAGTAGAAAGGATTTGAGTCCTGGGGACCAAGACTTGGTTGCTGTTGAGCCCTCTGCAAAAAGCTAATAACTTGTGGTGGCTTCAATGGGAAACAAACCTGATCTCCCCAACAACATGAAGTCTAAGGACACAACCCAGGAGCAATCAAGACAAAGGGGCTCAAGCCCGCAAACCGAAAAGCCAACTGCACCCATCAACCAGCCGCTTGAAAAAAAAGCGAGCGGCTCGCTTCAAGGCGTACTCGGAACAGATCACCGGCAGCACGGTGCGCTCGCAGGAGATCCAGTAGACGAAGCCTCAAGTTGGTCTGGCCAGGAAAGGCCCAGACTCCAGGTGTCGAAATTATCGGGTCCCCGAAGGATCCCAATGGTTTTCTGGTGTTCCAAGGAGACATCGCCTGGTTGGTTGGTTGGCTGGTTGGTTGGTTGGCTGGTTGGTTGCTCGATGTCCATCATCAATGTTAGTAAACAAAGATGCAAGATGGTACCAAACCTTTCCAACCTGAGGTTGCCACGTGGCCCGAATTTTAAACGGATTTTTTGGTGTTTGATGGGTTTGCGATCGCTATGTTTGGAGCTGGAGCCAAAAGCAAAGCCGAGGAACCGAAGCCACTTTGGTTTTGCTGGACCCGCTGGTTGGGAACAAAGAGCGCTCAAAGTGGCTAGCAGGTAGGGTCACCTTCCAGCAGTTTTCTGCTGGGAAATTGCCTAATTCAAAAAGAAAAGTCTTCAAGCCCTCAACTTAACATCCGAGGTGGCAAAGCGACACACACACACAAAAAACAAACACATCGGGAACTTGACAATTGGGGGGGGGGGGGGGGAAAGGTGATTCTTGAAAGAGAGACCAAGGAACAAATGGGTGTCTTTTTTAGTGGACCCCATGTTTGCTGGTCTAAATTAGACTAAAGGGAAACCAAAAGAACAACCACCATTTTGCGGGGTCCAACAATAACAAAGACGACCCAAATCCTGGTTTTTGCAACAGCTGAATATGTACTCGTGGTCAAAACTCTGTTCTGCTCTAAGAGCTTCTCACTTCCGATCGAGTGGACTGGCAAAACAAGTCCAAACTTGCTGTTTGCCACTGGAATGGTGTTCCCAAGAAGCTTAAAATCCATGATCTCAGAGTGAGGGTTGACGACAATCCCTACCAAGTGAAGGGGTCTTTCTACCATAGCATCAACACTCGCAAATTGGCCACTTCGACCGACCCCCTTGCCAAGAGGACACGTACAGGGGCAAAAGAGAAAAACTGGGCACCAAATTGCACGTTCCCTTTTGTCTTCCTGCTGGGTCAAAATTTATTAAAATCATGGGCTATTTAGCGCCCAGTGAGGATACTCCGTTTTCATGTCAGGTTTTTGGGAAGCCCAAAAGGAACACCACGTGTTCTTGAGAGGTACCATTTCTCGAGTTTGTTTCAAAGACAAGAATCCTTTTGGCACAAGAAAAATACACACCTCCCCCAACAGGTGGGAGCAGTGTCCTTTTTGCTTCCCTTTAAACCCGCCATGTGGCTGTCGCTCAAAAAACCGGTACCAAAATGAAACCCTGGTAAGTGGAAACATGAACCAAAACCTGCGAAACCCCTCCTGGTTAATTTTGAGCCACACCCATATGGGTCTGTCTTTGAGTGTTCCCGTTTCTGTGGGCTTCAAAAGGAAACCAAAAGGAAAACCGGCAACCGATTTGTGCCATTTTGGAGGGGCCCCAAAAACGAGACATACCCACATATGGAGGATCCCAAAAACGACACTCCCATTTAGCCCCCGGCCAAACGCCTTGCAGAACCAACCACCAAAGCGAGAAAGGCCTACCTGGAGTCTCCATGACCCGAAATAAAAATTGGTCCACGACCCCTTAATTGGGTAATGACCAACCATTTTTGAAGGGTCATGGAGATCCATGACCCCTTAATTGTGGGTAATGACCAACCATGTTTTTAAGGGTCAGAAGAAGACTCCAGGTATAACTAATAAGCCCAAGGCGCCATGCACGAAGTCCACTGCGGGGCCCTTCACCGCAACGCCGTACCTCGGCACGCGGCGGGCGTGGCTGGGGCCCCGGTCACATGCCTGGAAGAGGACGGAATGGCCACGCCAAATAGCCCAAAAGGAGCTGCTACCCATGGGGGTGATGTTTCTTTGAATGCAAACTCCTTGAGGGTTGAAATGGACACCAACCTAAAATGGAATGAAAGCCCAAGTGGGACCAGCTTGCCGCCTCAGTAAAAATCTAAGTGCCCAAAGCATCATAGGTTAGACGGAGGCTCAGTCCGGAAAAGTCGGTGAGTTGGACCCAACTCATTTTTGGACATTAGGGAAGAGAAGTTCGTTCAGAAACTGGGCAAACCAATAGTACCTGGCAAAGGCCCAAGCTCCGTCTGAAACCTGCCTCTCCAATTGAACAAGCTTTATCTTTGAATGGGAAAAAGGGTGGGTTCCCTGGGTGGTCAGCCACCACGAACATCCTCCCTGGATCACTGGGACTGTTTTTTGTCGCGTCATGAGCGACCTCTTAATGTTGAAAGACGTAGGCCGGGCTCAAAAAGAGCCAAGCTTGCCCAATGTTTGACAATCTGACTGGTGTTCAACCATCGAGATACCAAAGCCGGTTCACACCCAGGGTATGCGGTTTGTTCGAGCAACGGGTTCACAATCTGGCCGGGGATTTGCTGCAGAACTGCTTCGGTCTTCCCTAAATTTGGTTGGTTTGAAAGGGAAACCACAAGGAAAATCGAAGCCATTTTTCTTTTAGGAGACTCCTGGACCCTCAACTACTCAAAAAAATGGTTGTTGCCCAAATGTTTTTTTGGGGTCAGTCCGAGTGCCAAGTCAACTATACCGTGGAAACATATTTTGGGAGAGATTTCCATTTTTGGGGCTGATATTCCATTTGGGGGGGGCTGATTTCCCATTAAAAAAAACAAAAAAAACAAAAAAAAAACAATGGTGATTGCTAAAACATAATCTGGGGGTGCTTTCCCTTTCTTATGGGTGGCTTGAGATCTTGCACACAATGAAATGGCTTATTGCCCCAAATCTGTTTTGGGGTGGTCCCCCTTTTTGTGGTTGGGATGATATTCCATTTCTGGTTTCCCATTTATTTATTGTTTTAAAAAAAAAAAAAAAAAAAAAAAAAAAAAACACAATAAAAAGATCGGGGGTGCTTTCCGGTTGAGATTTTCTTGGCGCATGTGACATTCCGAGGCGCGCCCACTCGGACTTCAGCCCAGCCAGGACCCCGTCGTTGCCACCGCCGGTGGCCACGTCCATGAAGTCCGCGTACGCTCGGCGCTGGCCTGGCGAGCCCAGTAGCCCTCTGGGCTGTCCGTTTTTTCTTCATTTTGTTGGTTAGCTGTTTGCCCCCCCGCCCCGTTTTTTTTCATTCAAAACCAACAAACCAATCTGAGCGGATTGGCAAAAAGACGCCCACACTTTTTGCGTACCACGAAAACGGTCTTCGCAAAAACCAAGGGAAAGCCGAAAGGTGCAAAGGTCGATTCAATTAGCACCCGGTGGCCTTGCTGCCTAACCACTTGCTAACTTGGCCGAGCACCCAAGTATGGTTGGGTTCCTTGTGGTTTCCCAGTACCAACACTAGGTCGATTCACAATCCTCGAAAACCCGGGATTGGCACCCCCACAAAATGGCAAGGTGGACAAGATCCTGCACCAATTGACGTGGTTTGTCCCAGTTGTCATCGGGTGTCATCCATCGTCTCGACCGGTGTAGGACTTTGTTCTCTTTTTTTATATCGTCCACGGTGAGTTTCCTTTCCGGTTTCCTGTACCCACCAAAAGGGCGTAGATTCACCATTGGAGAACCTGAATTTGACCAAAGCCACGGCTGTTCTCTTAGAACATATGGGAAATCCCGCCGGTGGTAGCTTTGACCCCTTTGTTGGGCTCACCTCGGGTCTCTGAGCCGCGCCAAGCCGCCCACATAGGAATACCCGAAGCTGCCGTCAGACGCCGTGCGCAGGCCCTGCATGGACACGAAGTCTCCTCAGCTCCATTTCGAGCTGGGCCGCACCCCCCGAGGCTTCTAGGCACATGTGGATGTAAGTCTTACGGGACCCAGGGACCCCCACTGGAGATCTATTTGAGTCGCTTAAGGGACCCAGGGACCCCCACTGGAGATCTATTTGAGTCGCTTAAGGGACCCAGGGACCCCCACTGGAGATCTATTTGAGTCGCTTAAGGGACCCAGGGACCCCCACTGGAGATCTATTTGAGTCGCTTAAGGGACCCAGGACCCCCACTGGAGATCTATTTGAGTCGCTTAAGGGACCCAGGACCCCCACTGAGATCTATTTGAGTCGGGAGGGACCCCCACTGGAGATCTATTTGAGTCGCTTAAGGGACCCAGGGACCCCCACTGGAGATCTATTTGAGTCGCTTAAGGGACCCAGGGACCCCCACTGGAGATCTATTTGAGTCGCTTAAGGGACCCAGGGACCCCCACTGGAGATCATTTGGAGATCTATTTGAGTCGCTTAAGGGACCCAGGGACCCCACTGGAGATCTATTTGAGTCGCTTAAGGGACCCAGGGACCCCCACTGGAGATCTATTTGAGTCGCTTAAGGGACCCAGGGACCCCCACTGGAGATCTATTTGAGTCGCTTAAGGGACCCAGGGACCCCCACTGGAGATCTATTTGAGTCGCTTAAGGGACCCAGGGACCCCCACTGGAGATCTATTTGAGTCGCTTAAGGGACCCAGGGACCCCCACTGGAGATCTATTTGAGTCGCTTAAGGGACCCAGGGACCCCCACTGGAGATCTATTTGAGTCGCTTAAGGGACCCAGGGACCCCCACTGGAGATCTATTTGAGTCGCTTAAGGGACCCAGGGACCCCCACTGGAGATCTATTTGAGTCGCTTAAGGGTCCCCCCACTGGGAGATCTATTTGAGTCGCTTCACTGGACCCCCACTGTTTGGGTCGCTTAAGGACCCAGGGACCCCCACTGGAGATCTATTTGAGTCGCAAGGGACAAGGGACCCCCACTGGAGATCTATTTGAGTCGCTTAAGGGACCCAGGGACCCCACTGGAGATCTATTTGAGTCGCTTAAGGGACCCAGGGACCCCCACTGGAGATCTATTTGAGTCGCTTAAGGGACCCAGGGACCCCCACTGGAGATCTATTTGAGTCGCTTAAGGGACCCAGGGACCCCCACTGGAGATCTATTTGAGTCGCTTAAGGGACCCGACCCCACTGGAGATCTATTTGAGTCGCTTAAGGGACCCAGGACCCCCACTGGAGATCTATTTGAGTCGCTTAAGGGACCCAGGGACCCCCACTGGAGATCTATTTGAGTCGCTTAAGGGACCCAGGGACCCCCACTGGAGATCTATTTGAGTCGCTTAAGGGACCCAGGGACCCCCACTGGAGATCTATTTGAGTCGCTTAAGGGACCCAGGGACCCCCACTGGAGATCTATTTGAGTCGCTTAAGGGACCCAGGGACCCCCACTGGAGATCTATTTGAGTCGCTTAAGGGACCCAGGGACCCCCACTGGAGATCTATTTGAGTCGCAAGGGACCCAGGGACCCCACTGGAGATCTATTTGAGTCGCTTAAGGGACCCAGGGACCCCACTGGAGATCTATTTGAGTCTTAAGGGACCCAGGGACCCCACTGGAGATCTATTTGAATGAGATCTATTTGAGTCGCTTAAGGGACCCAGGGACCCCCACTGAGGATGGAGATCTATTTGAGTCGCTTAAGGGACCCAGGGACCCCCACTGGAGATCTATTTGAGTCGCTTAAGGGACCCAGGGACCCCCACTGGAGATCTATTTGAGTCGCTTACCCAGGGACCCCCACTGGAGATCTATTTGAGTCGCTTAAGGGACCCAGGGACCCCCACTGGAGATCTATTTGAGTCGCTTAAGGGACCCAGGGACCCCCACTGGAGATCTGTTTGAGGCGCTTGGCTCAAGACCGATCGGTACTAAAATGGTCGTAATCCCAGAACCATGCTTCAAGGATGAAGAAGGCAAAATTCCACAGCTATTTATGGTTGGGATCGTCCCTTACTAACCTTCATCTACCCAGGTTTTGATTGTGGCTCATTTGGTTTTCTAAGGGTTGATTTTCCAATTCCGTTCTTTTCAACCATCGTTCTTTCCAAAAACCGGATCCGTTTTCCATGGGTTTCCGGAGGTTTTCTGGAAAGAAGGATCCCTGGACAGAATGGGGAAGGTACCCTACACAGAACCAAACCAAGAGAGCGCCCAAAACCTCAACCCCTTTGAACATGGAATTGGGGGAGGGGGGGCATTAATGGCCACTCATCTAATGGAATTGGGCCCCGGACCTTCAGTCCATTTGCGTTTGGCTCACCTGTGTGAGACGCCCCCGGTTCTTCGACTGCCAGCACAGATGAAAGTATAAGGATTCATGCCCTCAGATCCCTCGCTGCAAGTTTAACTTTTAGTGGGTTAAATGGAAACTACCACTAAACACTGAAAATGCTAAAAAGCTAAGGGGATGGCTGGGAGCCACCAAGGATTATGTAGGCTTTACGAAAATCCCAAAATTCAGCCAAGTAGAACCATCTACAAACATGCCCCCCCCCCAACGGGGCACTGCTCAAGTGTCTCTTCTTACTTAGGACACTTGTAATTACGGGACAAGCCCTGCTGGATTTCCGTCAAAAGTCGACCAAGCAAAGAACGTGTTTGCCCAACTCCAACTCAAAGAAACACCAGCGGTGCATCTCTGTGCGGTACCTTCCCTAAATTTGGACAAGGGAAACCGAAGGGAAACCGATGCCATGCCCCCTCCCCCGTTTTTTTTTTAAACCTATACCCGTTCTCCCCCTTCAAGGCTTCCTTAAGATAATCCCATTTTGTGCCCCTACATACCACATAGGTGTCTCTCTTTTGTAGGGGACCGCGCAAACTGGTGGTTTTCCTTTTACGGCTTTCCTTTGAAGCCAATTAACAAAAACTTACCGAGCCGCAAAAACCGACACCCGCCGTATTGAGATAGATCTTGTTTCGCCAAAGCCGAGGATCGAAGGATGTAGTTGGGGGCTTTGTCACCCGGGTCCACAGTGAAGAGCACGTGCCTCCGGCCAAGCGGAGGGAACTGGCCAAAAAAAAAACACCAGCGGAATCCATCCACCTGGACCCTCAACCTACCTATACGAGAGGGAAATCATCCACTATAATTTGGGATTGGGATGATTTGAGGGTCCAAGGTATGTTCGAATCGACCAAATTGACCCCAGGACCTGTCTGGATTGTACTACGGGGGTACCCCGACCCCCTAGCATGTTCCCAGCAATATGAAACCTGGAACCCCCTGTGGGTGAAGCCAGGCTTCCCTTCGCAGCTTGCCTGGGATGCACTGGGCACAAGGGGTTCGGAAAGCACAATGATCACGTAGCTTGGTTCCATATTGCCCACGCAACAGCCCAATTATTCATTGGCCCTAGTCACTAGAGAAAGAGGTAGGTGGCTCACAAAGCGCTCTTACTCGCCTTCCTGTATCCCCACTGATTCCTTCTTCCACAAGGAGCTCGACCCAACACGGTCCTTTGGAGGATTTCCTTATGTCCGCATCGGGATTTATTGTAATTTGCCACAATACCGCGGGACGAGAATGGAAGCGGTTGTTGTGAGCCAATATTGTCTTTTCTTTGAGGGTGTCCGTTTTCGGTTGTTGGAGGCCAATGGGAACCACCCACATTGTGTGTTCCTGCCCATTTTAAGGCAAGCCAAAAACTTCGGGCTTACTTCTTTGAAGGATCACAGCCAATTTGTGACTCCCTTGCGCAAGAAGCGCACTTGGCTGTTCGGCCAAGTTAGTAAGTGGTCAGCCAATTGGAGTATAGCCGAAGCTGCCACCGTTGTTCTTGTTTTCCTGTTCTTGCGACTCCTCGTTCGGGAAAAACCGTCGCTGGCTGACCATCGCAACCTTATAGTTTTTAGGGAAAACTCAAGATTTGAGTAAACGCTTAAGATGTATCATCGAGGTGCACGAAAGCGCTTGCATGCTCAACAGAGGGAACATGATAAGCCCAAAGCATTTGAGCTAGCCTGGAGCACTCTTTGCATGCATTGGTTGCCCTCGTTTATCATATGGGTGTGGCTTAAAAATAGGAATCGTTGTTTAGGGACCCTAGTCAATGGACAAGTGGGGATCGCCATTTACCTGAATCTAGCATCCTTGGTACTTGTCCAGGGCCAGCAGGATTTGAACCTACAACCTCCTCAACCCGTCGTCGAGGCGCGCTGCCATTGCGCCATGTCCCCCTTCTCCAGCTTTGTTACAGGAATTCTATCAACATATTTCCGGCCAAGAACACTCGTTGAGCTCGAGGCCTTGCTTCCAACGGAACATCACCCGATGATACCCGGGTTGGGGTCCGACCAATTTCCTTTTCACGGGGCGCTCTGGGTTCCACGGTCCCCTGCACATCTCGCAACTCCCAAGCCACCAAGACAAGTCCTTCGCCTTCATGGCTAAAGAGTGACAAGTTGGGTGGCTCCCTTCTCAACAAGCGGCTGTTTTCATCCCTTACAACGGTTGCTTTGGTTCCTGTTCTAGAATCTCCTCCTTTAGCATCTTTGGAGGGTACACCCTTTTTTGGTGGTTAGGTAAAACCAAGAGGAAGACTGAAAAGTCGCAGCCATTTTGGGGAGTGGGGTGGCGGGTCCGAATCCGCAAAAAGACAAACCACCCTAATGGACCTGAACTCACTCAAAACCCTTCGCTCAACGCCTGGTGTCGAACCCGGGAGTCGTTGTGCCGCAGAGTGTCCGCGTCGTGGCCTTGCGAAGGACCCTGCCTTTGTGGCATCCGGGGTGTGCGCTTTTGAGGGTTTAAAGAGAAAGCAAAAGAAGGACGCGCCATTTTGCGGGGTCCGATTTCTATTTTGACACATACCCGCATACCCTTTTCAGGATTTCTTCCATATTGAGAGGCTGGCCTGGGTTGGGCAAGATCTGCCCAAACGTGACCTTGGTCCCCTGTTAAAGGGAAACCAAAAGGAAGTTGTCAAACACTGGGCCTGAACAAATATGGGCCTTTCTTGGAGTCGGTACCCTTGCTTGGTGGCATGCAAGGGAAATAAAGGACAACTTCCCGCGAAAACGACACCGAAATGTCGGGCTCGCCGCTTGCAATTTGCAAACACCAAAACCAGCTGGACCCTTCCAAATGGTTTCATTGTCGGTTTCGTGGAACGACCAATCTGCAATTTTTTACCATCTGTCCAAACCGCACGAGCTGGGTTCTTTATGTCAAGCTGAAATAAGGGATCTATGAGTAAAGGACCTACATCATATATACTGTGGACAACAGTATTCTGCACCCAATGGATGAAGCCCTATGCACTCTGGGACAAACTACCTATCAGCTGGTGCAAAAGTTCGTCCATCCACGTGTAGGTCCTCCAGTAAGAGCTTAGAATAAGGGGAATAAGGGTACCCGATCTGTAGTCTATTTTAGTAGGGAAACCCTTCCAACCAAAAAAGTGGGCAAGAATTGGCACTACTGGGGGACCTAGACATTAGTAAGCTGGTTTACCCCCTCAGCTCGCCATGAAATAGGCAGAGCCAATTAAAACATCCACCGAATCAGGCGACCGGCCTTCAGGCGTGCCGACAGCTTCTCGATGGAAGCGCCATCTTTGGAGAAGCAGGGGTTCCTGTCAGACGCTGCGAATAAGCATCACCGAACCCAACAAATTGAGATGGGAACAGGTCCCCCAAACAGGTCCCACTGCCTTTTTGGCTGGTGTTTGTAATGCAAAGGAAACCTTTAAAGGAAAAACCACTGGAATTCAGGTCCATTTTTGACCCAGACGAAGCTCCTTTTCTGACTCCTGGGTTTACTGTGGCTGGTTCGACTGATGCCTTTCTATCGTCAGCTGCCCAAAGGAGGAAAGAGTTTCCCTTTTGGAACCTTGACTGAAAATAGAGCAAACAAGGGAAACCAAAAGCTTAAAAGGTCGATTTGCTTTGGGCAAGTGCCTTCTCTCGGTTGCGAAATCTGCTCCCCTGCTATTTTTTTCTTTTAGTGGTTTAATACGGAAAACCCATTGGTTGGCTTAAAAAGTTAAAGTCCTAACATCCAAGCAAAAAGCACCGAAGCTCTATCTGTGCGCAGGTGCTGGTCGTGGATGATGGTCTGCGAGAATCATAGTACAGCCTTCTTGTTTGGAAGGCATGCTTAGTTTCGAGTCACGGCTGTCGTGGAATTCCGAGGGTGTATGGAGTTCGAAATGGGGCGATGCTTGAAACAAGAATCCTGAGAGCCAGGAAACTAGAAATATCGAATACAACAAGCTTGACCAGATTCAGGATTTGCTGGTCACAAAAAGAAGAGGGTCCAAGGTGGCAAGCACACAGAATCGGCTTGCCTCGTCATCCACAGCCCTTCCGGCACCATGACAGAATCCAACGCCAATCAGCATGCTCGAAGAAACAAGGAATGTGCAACCACTCCCTTGGTGCGGCTTCCTTTTGGTTGGCCGCCTGGGTGTGTGACCATAACTTATGGTCACCCCTCCCAAGCCCGCGGGTCCCACCCCAAACCCCCAAACCCCCAAACCCCAAACCCCAAAGCCCTCACCCAAACCCGGCCCTACACCCCGCGCCAAACGAAAAAACGGCCACCCTTCACTTCCATTTGCTTAAGCCCCCTGGAAAAAAATACAACACTATTTCCAGTGATAGATTCCCTCTAAAACCCAACAGGGGGAAAAAATGACAAAAACAATCTTATAAGAAAATGGATGTCGACCAAGCCCACCAACTCCTTCCATGGCACGCTCCCGGGTCCCGTCAACGAGTCCGACAACCACCTCCGCCCCCTCGCCTGGCGGGGTAGGTCTCGGTGGCCGGCAGCACCGCGATCTGGGAGGTGCCCCAGGCGGGGAAGCGGTCCGCAGACCCCGCCGCGAAGTTCCCGCTCTTCCCATTCAGCACCGAGAAGGCCGCCGCCCTCGAAAACCGACGAAAAACGCGCCATGAAAGCCGAACCGGCCCGAAAACCGGAAAAAAAGAAGGAAACAAAAACGGCCATTAAACAAAAGGGAAGGCCAAAATGGCGGCGGAAAAAACGGCATGGAAAACGGAAGGCCAAACCGGCCATGGAAAAAAACGGCATGGAAAGCGGGAGGCATGAAACCCGAAACCGCATGGGGAAAACGGAATGGAAAGAAACACGGCGGAAGGCGGAGCCCTCAAAAATAACGGCGTGAAACCCAAAACGGCGGAGTGCGGAAAGCTGTGCGTGGAGTTTGGTTGGGGTGGGAAAACAAGGCACGCCAAAACGGCATCGAAAGCGGAAAGCTGCGGCTCAAAAACCAACACGGCATGAAACAACGGCGGAAAGCAGCTGGGGGTGGATCTGTTGAATATGAAAAAGAAGCCGCCCTGAAAAGAAACAAAACGAAACGGCATGAAAGCCAAAATGGCATGGAAAAACGGCGGAAAGCTGAGGGTGGATTTGTTGGATATGAAAGAGAAGCTGGGATGTCACAGCGGAATGCAGAAAGCTGTGCGTGGACTCTTGTTGGGGACTTTGCGGCTGTGGGGATGTGTGTGTGTGTGTGTTGTGTTGTGTTGTGTTGTGTTGTGTTGTGTTGTGTTGTGTTGTGTTGTGTTGTGTTGTGGGTGTGGGTGTGGGTGTGTTGTGTTGTGTTGTGGGTGTGGGTGTGGGTGTGGGTGTGGGTGTGGGTGTGGGTGTGGGTGCGGGTGCGGGTGCGGGTGCGGGTGCGGGTGCGGGTGCGGGTGCGGGTGCGGGTGCGGGTGCGGGTGCGGGTGCGGGTGCGGGTGCGGGTGCGGGTGCGGGTGCGGGTGCGGGTGCGGGTGCGGGTGCGGGTGTGCGGGTGCGGGTGTGCGGGTGCGGGTGTGCGGGTGCGGGTGTGCGGGTGCGGGTGTGCGGGTGCGGGTGTGCGGGTGGGGGTGTGCGGGTGGGGGTGTGCGGGTGGGGGTGTGCGGGTGGGGGTGTGCGGGTGGGGGTGTGCGGGTGGGGGTGTGCGGGTGGGGGTGTGCGGGTGGGGGTGTGCGGGTGGGGGTGGGGGTGGGGGTCCAACACAGGTCAACGACCCTTATAGGACGACCTATGCAAGCAAGACCTCTATAGTCCATTTCCGTTCTTGGAGACATGATAAGCTGCATGCATGATAGTGTGTAGCATATATGATATATCAGACGCGCGACGTGCTTTATGTTTCCTGAACTTAAACAACATGCTATTCATCGTATATTATATGTGCAACATATTGCTGCGACCCTTGAAGCATACTTGGACGGGGCAGAAAACACCCAATGCGGCCAGCTGCAAACGCATTTTTCACTTCGCGCCCTTCACCCATCGGAGCGACACGGCCACCAGATACTGCATAAGTACCCGGGTGCCAAACACATGTGGATGTGTTCGAACCACAATGCGCTTCATGAAGCGCATCATGTCTTCATCCAACATGCACTGCACGTGCCTCGGATTGCGCCGAGGCGCAAAATCAAGAACCATGTGTTCAACTTGATGGTTTTTTGGCCGCACTGGCCACCGAACTAGGCCGTGGCGAATTCCAGCAAGAGCGAGCTCATTATATTTTGAGCGGTATGTGTAATAACACTTCCGCAGCACCTCTTCGGGGTGCGGGCTCGAAAGGCTCTCAAGGAATTGGCCGTTTGACGCCAAAACCACAAAGAATTCTTGCAAGGATGCAAGCACATCTCTCAGCAGCCTAAGTTGCAGCAAGCCGAACAATGCAGCTTCTCATATACGCATGCTCTGGAATTCAATAATGCCAACAAGACACACGTTGATTTCAGTATCTGGGGCATGTTCGGAGCACAGGGCGAACCAGTTGACCATCATTCGGCTGGCAGCACCCGACAAGTGCTTTTGCCCAACGTCAGGGTAGTCGTGGTCCGATGGCCGCAATGTTTTGGTCACAAACATGGATCTTCTTGCGCGGCATGAGGAGTGCACTCCTTACATTCGAATCAATTGCATGGGTATGCAAAATAGACGCTTACGCTTGATGGGAGACACATGCACAACGATGCTAAACATTTACTGGCAGGGAGTCCGGTATCCACACACCACGCTGCATAGTCAGCGTACGCATGCTCTAGACGGGCATCTCGGGAGCGACCAGGCCACATGTCCTGGTTGTCAGTCCATGTCATCAAGGCAGAGGCATAAATGTCTGTAAGGACCTGCAAGTCCATGATGTGAAGCAGGTCCGGCCAAATTCCTCGTATACAACATGTTGCTTTCTTATAGGGGATTATAAGTTGTTTCAACATGCAACTGTGTGAGGGGGGCAAGCAAAAAAAAGAACACCCGGGACCCCTTGGAAGGGGTTGCGCATGAACATTTCATGTTTCGTGTGTGTGATAGGAGTGCTATATATGTGCCATTGATTTATGTCAAAACCCCTCCCCCTCAAAAAGCATGCCAAGTTGCGCCAGCATGAAAAGCCATCAACTTGTGTCAGCGGGCTCGGGCCATGCACAGCGATGAACTCATCGGTCGACAAGAGCCTCGAGGGATAGCAGTACGTGTTGAGGGCAACAGTTCAAAACCCAACAGACCCCAAATAAACTTAAGGGTCAGCCTTTTGAACACCCAACCCCAAACTAAGGAAATTGTGCCCATTCAAAAAACCACCCCTTATATTGAACGCTGACAGACCCCTTAAGGGTTTTATTTTCTTCAGCCTTTTGAACACCCAACCAAGGAAAGTGTTTCCATTCCAAAAACCACCCCTTAGAATACGGACCCCAAACCAAACTTAAGGGTTTTGTTTTCTTCACAACTAAGGAAACTGTTTCCATTCAGCGTTTGGGACAAAATCAAACCTGAACAAAGGAATTTGTTTCCTGCAGCCTTTGAGCACCCCAATGAATCAAACATGACCCCAAAAACACATCGCCAAGCGGCGTGCCACGATGAGCAGCCATGGGACCCCACGCAGTGTACACCAAGCTCTGCGGCTCGGACGGCAACGGGTTCACCACTGCCTCAATTCGGGAAAGGCCACCCAGCAAGATGTTGGGGAAACTTAACGGGGAAAGGCCATGCAACGTACGATCACTCAAAATAATGCCACACTTGTTGCTGGGTTGCTGCACATAAGTGGCAAGCTTGCCGGTGAAGGTATGATCCTCTGCAACTACATCAAAAAGGGCGCAAGCCAAATGTGTGCGGGTCAGATCGATGTGTGCAAGCCAAATGTCTTTTCAGCTTGAAGATTTTGACCATGAACTCGGCATCAGCCTGAACCCCATCAAATGCTGCCCGCCAGCCGTTGGCGATTTCTTTGCCAGATTGCTTATATCTTCGCGGACAGTAGGTAGGGCTGAACAGTTGGCCCCACGGATCTCTGTCAGGAAACCGTCCTTTGCCTCAACATGTTGAGAAGTTTGCAGGACAAATTACGAGTTGCAATATGCTTGCAAAGTGTAGCTAGGGCGCTCAGGGCCTGCAGTGACCAAACAATTGTTTCCAGAATCATTTCTCGGCAAAGTTCATTGGTATGATAGGTGGATCTGACGGACATCCTAGAGCTCGGGCAAGTCGACTGAGTGAATGTAGCCTTCACAACGTTTGTTTCGAAAAACATGCTGAGTGCGGCCAGGGAGCACAAGCCGCGTGTCTAGCGTTGAGTTCAAGCCGGACACCACAGGTAGCAGGGTCATGAGCTCGAAGTTTTGGCATCCTTACTTGCTCAGCAAGTTTTGTTGATCAAGGGTTTTGTGATATTGGCAAGCGGCGTTGTGCGTCGGCTCCATCACCATAGATTCGAATAGGCACAAAGCGGTGGCACTGGCTGTAGTCCTGCATGTGAGTCGCAATTAAGTTATAAACAGTGTCAAATCGTGCACCACAATTTTGCAACACAGACGCTTCGATCATGGATATGCCTAGCGATCATGTTTGCCGCCTGGACTTATATGCACGAAGTATGCGCCAAGCACTTGAACGGTGCGCGCATAACTTGCCTTGGAAATCTCGGGGTGCGATTCTGCAAGGTCTGCGTTTCTAGACCACCAATGCTCGATGTCCTAGGTTTGCAAAGCAATTGCATTAATTCTTCGAGCACATGCCATGCGCACACGTTAGTCGCGCATGCTGGCAAGCATCCCCGGGCGCCCCAAGGAGCAAGTGCGGAAACAACTCGCCGCCCTTAAAGTTGTACAGGGCCCAAAACCACTCATGTGGAAGTAGGACACCCTGTTGCATTGTGCGCCGGCTGGACATGCTTTTCACCTCGGCTCACAGCTAAGGAACGCGTGGAGATCCTGATCATCGTCTCCATCGCACTCAAGATCAAAGGCGGATTAGGGCTGGGGCAAGGTCCACTTCAAAGGTGAAGGCTTCCAGAGGCAATCGCCAATCTTGTTTCAGCACCCACTTGTCAAACGCACGGTGAAGTCCCCACCCAGCACAAGTTTCCAATTTGTAGGCCAGCTCAATGAGAGGCTCCCTTGGATCAAACACATGCGAAATGTTCAGCCCCAATGAAAGTTAATGTTAAGTCCGAGTTTCGGGAGCAGCTCATGGGGCAGATTTGCCAATCGCTGCAACTTGCTGACGATTTTGGTCAGGGGCACCTTACAAGGCTTGGCCGAAACGAAACCCCGAAGACAAAAGGGCGAACATCTTTCGAACGCAAAGGGCGCTACCAGAAAAAGAAAACGCCCAAGTTTCACCCCCAATCAAAGACTTAGTATGTTTGCCCGTCGCCCGTGAAACAAAGATGTGTGGGAACTTATAAGGGCCCCTTTCCTACACACAGTGGAACACTGCAAGGAACCCTCAGTGAGTCGAAACTCTTTAGGCGGAAACATATAGTGCATGGATGATGGCCCTTTTACGGCTTAAACTGTTTCAATGGAACCGACCAACATGTTTGGGCAAGCGCTGGAGTGTCAGATATTTCAAGCAAAGCCTCAAACAGGTACAAACAAACAAGAATCGGG